ACTATTGTGTCTCATGTAAGCAAAAAAAATAAAGCCACAATACTCATATCTTCTATGCACCACAGAAAATATTGTGATCCGGAAACACAGAAACCGGAAATAATAGCCTATTACAATGCTAATAAAGGTGGAGTTGATTCTCTTGATGAAAAATGTTCGAAGAGTACCTCAAGTCGCCGATCGCGTAGGTGGCCACTGGTTATTTTCTACCGACTATTGGATATATCGGTAGTGAACTCGTATATTTTACACCAGTGCTATAAGAAAAATGAATTGCAGAAGGAAAAATCGGTATTTGCTAAGATGTTGGCCGCTAACCTGGTCCGTGAGCATATGGAAAAGCGACTAGAGAGTCCCCGTTTACCTCGGGATTTGCGACTTACGATAAATCGCATCCTTGGCAAATGTGAACATCCAGCAACAGAAGCTGAAAATTTGGTTTTGGAAAAAAGGAAAGCCTGCTTTTTATGTCACCGAACGACCCATCGGATGACCAAATTTTTGTGTGTACAATGTAGGAAGCCTGTATGTCTTCAATGCTCCAAACCCAAATGTATTAGCTGCATAAATATAGGCAATGTTTGAGACTTGCAGTGAATTTTGATTGTGTTCTTTTTGTATTTATTGACTATAATATACTTTCCTTGTTCATTACTTAACTAGAAAATAGAAAAATATTGAGACTTTTCCATAGTTTTAATTTAGTTTCTGAATGTTGCAACAACAGCGTTATTTTTGTATGGTTTTAGCATAGTTAATAAAAATGTTTCTTTTATGTTCTTGTATCATTTTGAAATGAGCATTTTACGTATTAAACACATAAAATAAACATCCAGTATCAGTTTCAGCGAAGTTATTGCTTGCTTTTCGCCTTACTCTAATTTTTTGAACATCTTGAAGTTCGCAGTCTGAGAGACGGCATGTTTCCTTTTGTGTTCCAAAAATTCACGTTTCCTGTTAAGGGTTAAGTCACCTGATTCACGAGCCCGTTGTACTACATTAACAAAGGCACGAGGGGTTGGTTGCACTCGATTGGGAAACCGATCCGCATAAATATGTGCCATTTTTTATTTCGTTTGAGCCACGCAGCTAACACCACTATTCACTCACGCGTTACCGACTGACACATTGACTGAATAAAAACATCGTGATCAGCGTTTCAAATTCTTTCGCTTTTTTGTTTCCGATGCGATGAACCGATAAGGCGGATTATATCCGTTGTTGCCAAACACGAGCACATAATATTATTATTGAGACAGGGCGGTACTCAAACTTCTAAAGGGCTATAACTTTGTTACTTTAATTTTACCAGAAAAATGTTAAAGGAAAAAACATTTCTTTTGATCAGATCTACTCACTGTTAAAATAAATGACTCAACTTCGAAGTCACCCTGTATAAGTCTGCTTGTAATTTAAAGATATTTAAAAGAAAATTAAAGGAATATTTCATGGACAATGAAAATTCTTAGAGATGCAAATATTGTTTTTTTCTGAATGTCTGTATGTTATGTAATTCTTTCATTTTTTAGAAGAATGTAATTGTAGGAATCATGCTAAATAAATCTTAAACAAACAAATACCATATTTTATTAATGCATCTTCAGATAACACATTTTTTGCATCTTCATTCTTTTTGTGATTTGCCATTTGAACCATTATTTTGAATTTTGGCTGAATAAAAGACTGCTGCTGCTGACTGATTTGTAGACGAATACCCACAAAAAAGTCAGGAGCTGTTAAATCCGGTAATATTGGTGGCCAGTTGACAACTCCAAATCGAGAAATTAAACGTCCCGGAAATATTGTTTGCGAAAGATTAATTGTTTGCCTAGCTGTGTGACATGTGTGACAAGTTGCTCCGTCCTGCTGAAACCACATGTTTTGCAGGTTAAATTGTTGGATTTGAAGAGCCATAAAGATTTGCACCATATCATGGTAGCGCTCGCCAGTGACAGTAAGAGAATCACCTGCAGCGTCTTCAAAGAACTAAGATCGAATGACACCTCCATACCAAACACCGCACCAAACTGTGCCTCGACGAGCATGTAGTGGTCTTTGATGGATGGCACGAGGGTTCGCTATTGCGCAGATACAATTCTGCTTATTAACAAATCCTTATCAGTTGTCGATAAAAATTGTTATTTTGGGTATTAAGCTGCAATATTGCATGACTATTGTCGGCGACTTTCATAGTCACTAGGCAGTAGTTCTTGGATTAACTGAATTTTGTATGGCCGCAAATGCAAGTCATTTTTTAAAGTAGTGCATAATTACGAACTCTTTCGAAATTTTCCGGAGTACGAACAGTTCGAACACGGCCTGACCTTGGCAAGTCTTTAACTTCACCTGTTTCTTCAAATTTCCGCATCAACTGACGAATGGTGTTGACATTATTTCGACCGAAATCTTGTCGTAGCTTCCGAATCGTTCCAACAATCGACTTATTGTTTAAGTAAAACGTTTTAGCAATACGGACGCGTTGTGGGATCGTGTAGCGCTCTATGATGAATTGGACACATGTGCTTTAAATAACTATTACGGCGCCACCTAATGGAAAGCGTGTATCAAAAATGGCGCGCAATTTAAATCAGTTATATATTGGTTACCCTGTACTACTATGAATGATATTCACAGCTTTAAAAGAAAAAATAGATCATTGAAATAAAAATAATTTTTCATTATCGTACCTGGTAGCTTGCAAACAATGCACACTTTCGTATCCGGCGATGGACTTTGGCTCGGACTGACCCTCTCTATGATCAACCCACTGGGCAAATTCGGAATCGATGGAAATGAACTCAAGACGCTCTTGTTCAAGGCGGCCGGTGTCGGAACGGTACCACCGTTTGTCTCTTGCTTGGTCGTGGCGGTGTTGCCGTCGTTGACGGAGGTGGCACCAGCTGTCGAAGCAGCGGCGATGCTCAGAGGCGGTGACGTACGCTCCTGCTTCTTCCTCACTGATTGACGGGTGTTCGGAGGTGATACCGGAGAGACCAAGTAGTTGTTACGCTTGCGTTTCTGCAATAAGAAAAAATGGCGCAACGCTGTCATCAGTTCGCAAAGGGTCAAGCTCCGCGCAATTTAAATCCTCTAAGGAGACGTTAAATTACGGACATGTACAACAGAGATATTAAACGTATTAAGTCAGTCAAACAGGCCCATACGATTAGTCCATAGAAATTCTTTCCCTGCACTACTGGTAGTTACCGACCATGTGGCAACGTTGCAGCGAGTTATTTTTCGTTTCGTGCAAGGTCCGTATGTTTTTTGCGCTTCAGTACGGATAAATATACAGAGTGTTCGAAAAATAGACGGAGATATTTTAGAGGGCGATATAAACATCGGGCCGGAAATGCAGAGTTTTCAAGATACAGAGTGATAAATTTAACAAAAAAATCTTTTTTTATTAATATCTTAAAAAATATTTACTCGATTCTGTTGAAATTTTGCAATATTATTCGATGTGTTACGAGGCTGATTTAGCTCTAAATAGACTAAAATTATTATATAGGTCCATCTATTACCAATACTTAAGGTACCCCTGAGCATATATTTAATTTATTTGGAATATAATGTCTTAATACTCTTTTACAATTTGGGACCGATTATTTAAATTGGTTTTAAACTAATTGAGTGAAGTTCCAGTACAACCAATGTATTCTTGAGGGTATATGACACGGTTAATCATCGAGATATACAAAGAATTTTGCTGGCTATATTTTTTTATTAAACTTCAAAGTTGGAAAAATCAATCTTTCGCGTATATTCAAGTAGTTATGAATTATTGACGTAATTGGTCGTATTGGTTGAGAATACCTTCAAAATGAGACCTTACACGGCCAATTTGTCGTAACTGTTAATTTGTTATTACTAAAAAACGGCGCAAATCTTCGATTTCTACATTATTTATCTTTTACTTTCCGTAAGGCCTCAATTATATAATTTCTTTATAAAACAGTTTGATACAATTTTTCTCTCAAATTCTGCATATTATGTTATATTACTGAACCATCGGTAATGGTGGTAATTGCATCTTATTTAATAAAGCACAAGTTATAAAGGATGTTTACGCTCAAAGTTACACTTTATGTTGAAGGACCATGGTTAATAAGATAAGGAACCTATCCTGTACCTCAAATGTTTATACAAAGTGAAGCGAACACGAGGCAAAAGTTCAAAAAATTCCTTTTGGTGATTCTGGAAAACCGGCGTTGTTCCAAAAATACAGAGCGGGAGCGAAAATCTCGAAAAGAGTATTTCTTAGCAAAAATCGCATTTTAAGATTTATCCACAACGAAAATGAATGTAACTCATTTCCGTCGGTTTGTTTGTCAGCCCAGGAATCCCTGGTCCTTATAACTAGGAAAAGACTGTTGGGATTTTCATGGAATTTCACACCAGATTTCTACCTTGTCAAGAACAAAAAATAAAATAGCTTGAGATGATCCCATCGGAACCTATAAGGACCATATCGATGCTAATGGATGGAACTCTATAAAAAATGATCCTGGAATAATTGGAAGAGCTCGTGGTTCGGTTCGGTCTACTAAGATCGGTTTTAAAATCTGGTTGTAATTGATTTAAACAGAATTTGTTAATCCATCAATAGGTTGGTGAGCTAGAATTACGATTTATGCTAAAAGTAAAAATGACCAATGTATCCTCGAGACGGTTCTTTGAAAATTACCAGAGGTCAAAATAGTGTTACGAATCGTCCCTTGAATAATATGACAGCGCTCTACATGCAGGACTTCGTACATCCAGAACTGGTCGATGCGACCGCTCCTTCGTCCCTAGGGTATCGAGATTGTGGAAAAATATACTTGAGGCTTTTCCCAGTTCTACTAACCCTAGGTAGTGCAAAAATCGGTAAAACAAAGTTTCTTGCAACGATATAAAAACATTGTGCTATACTAAGGTAACACACCATAACATACTATCAATTTTGTATGCAATATTATCTGCAAAATCGCAATATAGCCAAATAAACTTTCTATCTACCTACATCCTACAGCTAGCAAAAGCGAAATAAAATTATATAATACATACGTTGCCGGTCAAAAAATCCCAACCTTTATTGCCGTAGAGGAAGTGGGGATTGGCGGTGCTGCGCCGTTTTCGCTCCGCCCTTCGATTCTGCATCTCACGATACAGATCGTGAGTGGCTAGCGAGAAATAGGAGAGGAACTCTGACTGGGCGAGGTCGCGTGGCACCGTCGCTTCTTGGCGTCTGAAGGTGGAGTCGCCTGCGCTGTGAGAGGGCCGATACTCCGGCGAGTGAGCCGTGGAGTGGGCGGGGCCATTTTGCTCGACGGCGCCTTGCGAGTCGTCTGGGAAGGATACTAATCTGTAATTAGACGTATTATATTATTAAGATGTTATAGATTCATAACTGAAGCAGAGGATGGCAGCAAGATCATAATGAAAACTAATACAATGAAATCAAAAATCATTTCTTAAAATCGTTATTCCACTTATTTCAAAAATGACTAAACATACTACAGTGCCTCCTACTCTAATTATCTTCTTATTTAATACCTTCAAGCCTTTATCCTCAAGAGTGGAGAAATATAATACAGCGAAAACAAAATTTGTCTGACGACTGAGTTCAATGTATACGAGAGAGAAGTGCGTATAGACACATACACTAATGGACAAAAGTATATAGACAAATATGAATATTTACCTAAATACATTTAGAAAACGAATTCATACTTCATTGCTCCATAAACAAATGCGTTATTAGTAGAAAAACTAAATTCCTTGTTTTTACATTATCTGCAATGAACACAATACAAGTCTGAATATGAGCACTTTTTATGAGGGACAAAAGTATTTAGACAAATTCTTTTCTACATTAGTTTAGTACAGTTTCGTGACAGAAATTAGTTTGTGTTCATCAAGTATTGTGGAATAAGTCGAGTGATTTTAAGAGCATGCCGCGTGGTCCAGAAATTTCTTTCGATGTGAAAACTAAGATCATTGAGTTATACAAAGATGGTCAACGTCAAGTCGACATTGCAAAATATTTTAAGCTGAAGCGTAAAGCAGTTTGGGCAATATTGAACAAATATAAACAAAAAGGTATCTTGGAACCCTCTAAGACAAGACAAATAAAAGCCGAAATCGAGACAAAAGGAATTGTCAGTGTTTCTACGAAAACTATAAGTAGAAGATTAAATGATTTGAAGTTATTTGCACGTCGCTCGAGTAAGAAGCCGCTAATTTCGAGGAAAAACCATAAGGACCGATTTGAGCATCTGTGACTGGAAGAGGGTATGTTTCAGTGACGAATCCAAGTTCAATATGTTTGGATCAGATGATGTTCATTATATTAGACGTCCTAGTGGAAAAAGATTGAACCCCAAGTACACTTTGCCCACTGCCAAACATGGAGGCGGTTCTGTTATGGTTTGGGATGGGACTTTTACATATTATAGTCCCAGTACCCAAAACAAATAATCCACGTAAGCCAGAAGACTGGCGAACCATCAATCTTATACCAGTCGTCGAGAAAGTTATAAAAATAACAGTGCATGAACAGCTGAGTGAGCATCTACGTGTGAACGATGTCCTTTTTGAGAGGCAATCCGGGTTCAGAAGAAACTGCATGTCAATTTGTATGTACAAAGTGGAAATAATATGTAGAAGATTAAATTAAATGTGAGAAAAATGAAATGTATGATTAAAGGTTCGAAGAATAATTGCAAGAAGTTGGTGGATTTGAATATGCCAGTGAAAATTAAGGGAGAGCTACTTAATTTTGTAGATGAATTTAGGTATTATAATAGATCAGCAACTAACTTTCAACAAACATGTTGACTATATGTGTCGGAAATTAGGCAAAAAGATAGGGTATTTTCGTAGAATTTGTGAGAATCTAAGTCCCTGGTGCAGAAGGGTAGTCTACAATATAATAATTTTTCCTCATTTTACTTATTGTGCATCACTTTTGATTACATGCACAGATGAGCAAAAGCAAAGGTTGCAAATTCTATTAAATAAATGTATGCGAATTTTGTTAAGTTGTAGCAGGTATACCCATATACAGGATATGATAAAGGCATTAAATTTTTTAAACATACACCAAATTATTCAAGAGGCAAATTTAATTCTTTTATATAAAATTATCAATAATCAGCCTCCACCTTATCTTGAACAGTTTCTAAATAAAAGATGTGAAATGAAAGCTTATGACATTAGATCAAAAGAAAATTTCCATATACAAAGATTCAGATTTAAATGTTTAGAAAATTCAATGTTTGTTGAAGGTCTAAAAATGTACAACAATCTCCCTATTAATGTTAAAACATCTACTAATGCTAAAATTTTCAAAAAGAGACTTCGGAGAGATTAATTTGTGTGACAACCTCTTTGTAAATTTAACATATTTTTGTAAATAATATTTATTATTGCTTGAAGTAGCTTAAAGCTAAATAAATCATTTCTATTCTATTCTAACTACTGTTATGCCTGAGCCACTGTAAATGATCATTTAGGGCCGTTATAAACTCATTGTTATTGGAAAAAACCAGAAACCCCACACACAAAAATTGATTGACTTACTCTGACATAAAGTCAGCGGCAAATGAGCTATTTTGACAGATCAGTGATAGATCGAATAATAAATTTAGATGGCGTATTTATACCATTATACACATATGGAATACAGCATCATTCGAACATCTGCTGCATCTTCGTGTAATGAGGCACGTCTCGAATATTCCCCGCAGGGTGTCTACAGGGTGTTTCAGTTTATTGTTGCATAACTTTAAGATTCGATAGAACTTTTAAAATTAATGCATAAAGTCTATATAAACATGGGTCGAAAAATGCGTGGGTTCCGAAATAGGGTGTTTAAATTTACTTTCTAAAATAGGTTTTTTTTAAATATTTCGAACAATATTTGATGTATAACAGTAAAAATTGGTATACAAGGGTTTTTTGGTACGACAAAACGAACCATGGGCATAGTTTTACTGTAGCCGCTAGAGGGCGCTCTCTACTGTACCTGTAGTGTATTAAAATGACCGAAAATTTTTTCTTAGTGCAATTATTTGCTTTTTAAATAAAAAAACTGATTCTTCGCACTTTTCAACATAAAAAAGCTCTCTTATGAATTTTCGTTATAGTTAGCCGTTTTTGAGATATTTCGATTTTTAAGGTTCGATGCATTTTTAATTATTTATGATAAAATAACGTTAAAAAGTCAGTATCTCGATAATTTTTAGAAGTAGGCTGTGCCTGCAAATATTTTTGAAATTGAAAGCAGAATAAGGTTAAACGTCAATTAGTTGACAGATAGTTTTGTTGTCTGTTGAAACCTGAAACGTTTTTTTGCAATTGTGAATGCACGAAATTTAGTTTCTTTTACCTGTTTTTTTTTTAAGTTTTATAAAAATGCCATTTTTATTCTCCAATCAAGGGTTAGCGGATATTCATTTTATGTATGGCTTTGTAAATGGAAACGCAGCAGAAGCAGCCAGAGAATACGCACGAAGATTTCCAAACAGACGACATCCAACTCCCTCAGTATTTGTAAGAGTGCATCGCCAAATAATTGAAAATCGTTTTGGAAATCTCCAAAGGGATCAAAACATAAATGTTCGTCAGCGCAGATTTACCCGTATGATTCTGCGTGAGTTTGATAGAGATCCGACCACAAGTGTTAGGAGAGATTCTGGTGAATTGGGAATTTCAGCAAGTCATGTTCACCGTGTTCTTAGAAATGACCATAGACGTCCTGACCATTTGCAACCTGTGCAAGGACTACAGCCAGTGGACGGAGAACGAAGAATCACATTTTGTCAGTTGATAGAACTGATAATAATAGGGAGTTTTTAAGTAACGTTTTATGGACCGATGAGTCATGCTTCACTAGACGTGGAGTGGTAAATTTTCATAATCAACATATTTGGTCGCATGAAAATCCGCATGCAGTTCGGGAAAGAAATTTTCAGCATGAATTTAGTGTGAACGTGTGGATTGGTATCTACCGCTTGATGGTTGTCCAGCTCATTATTCGAGAAGAGTTAGAAACTGGCTGGATGAAAATTATCCAGAAAGATGGATCGGCCGTGGAGGACCAGTCGCCTGGCCTCCACGATCCCCTGACCTAAATCCATTAGATTTCTTTGTGTGGGGATTTCTAAAAGAAAAAGTATACCAGACTCCCTTAACCACAAGAGATATGCTAATAGACAGAATCAGGAATGCATGTGATGAAATAAGGCCTTATTTGAATAATGCTATACCACGTTCGATCATTCGTAGATGTGAATTGTGTATTGAACAATTGGGTTTACATTTCAAGCAATTACTTTAGATTTTGTATGTTTGTCCTAACTATCTAATAGCATTTTAGTTGTAAATAATTAATTTATTTTCTTAAAAATAATATTGGAAAATTAAACAAATTAATATTCTGTTTTTTTGTGTTTATTTGGAGTTAGGAATTATTGCTGTATTTAAAAACACAATCTAAACGATCATCTTAATTACTTGTAATGCCCAAATCGAAAATGAAAAAAAAATATTTTCCCATAAATAATTAAAAATGCACCGAACCTTAAAAATCGAAATATCGCAAAAACGGCTAGCTATAACGAAAACTCACAGGAGAGATTTTTTATGCAGAAAAATGCGAAGAATCAGTTTTTTTATTCAAAAAGCACGAAATTGCAGTAAGAAAAATTTTTCGGTCATTTTAATACACTACAGGTACAGTAGAGAGCGCCCTCTAGTGACTACAGTAAAACTATGGGTGGTTCGTTTTGTTGTAAAAAAAAACCCTTGTATACCAATTTTCACTGATATACATCAAATATTGTTCGAAATATTTAAAAAAAAACTATTTTAGAAAGTAAATTTAAACACCCTGTATTTCGAAAGCCACGCATTTTTCGACCCATGTTTATATAGACTTTATGCATTAACTTTAAAAGTTCTATCGAATCTTAAAGTTATGCAACAATAAACTGAACACCCTGTATAATAGCAATAGCTATATGCGGCATACAGGGTGTTTCAATTTTAACGCTCACTATTGGGATCTCGGAAACTGCAAGAGATACGGAGTCGCTTAGAGATGGGCAAAGTTGCGTATTTAGGTAATCAACAAAATGCCGCTTAGAAAATTTCGATATTCAGAGTGCTACCGGAGAGAGTCGGGAAAAATTGAATATTTTCAAACTCCTGACTTCATTTGTAGTGGGATTTTAAAAATAATTGCACCTTAACATTGCCGCTTTTTTGCAGTTTTTAATTTAGAAAAACATAAGTTCCTCGGTGAGCCTTGAAACTATCAGACCAGACCTCAGCTTGAACATTGTAACAGAGTTTGGAAGACTGAGAAGAATAGAAATAAATCAGGCAGTGAACAATGTACAGAGAAGAGTCAGGGTTTCCCTACAAGATAATGGACAACATTTTGAACATCTGCTAATATCTACCTCTGCTTATTTATGATTACTATTATTTCTACCATCAATAAAATTTTCATTTTGTGTTCAGGTTTCACCATACCTTTTTATTTCCTTATAATTTTCATCCAACAACAAATTCATGGCCAACTAAGGATACATCACTAAATTTAAGACTTAAATCTACAAAATTCCAATACATCGTCCATAAGTCAAAAGAAGAAATGTCTAATTGAAAATTTGACCATTTTGTAAAGGAGAATAAGTAACAATGACATCATGCAATTATTTTGAAATAACATCTCAAATAAGGTCAGGAAAGAATAACAGTGAATTGACTAATTGAAAATTTCATGGCCTTCCTAGGAAATTCTGCTTTTTCGAAATAACACATTACACATTTTTAGAATCGGAATTAAGAACTCTTTTCATCCTTGTGAACATCCAATATGGAGTCTGACAGAAAAAATAAAGTTGATGCTGGAGGCAAGAGGGGAAAAAGAGGCAATTTTGATGCAAAATTTATTTTGAAATTCCACTACAAATAAAGTCAGGGAAAAAATAAAATGATTGTAAGAAAATTAAATATGCCACTTTGCCCTCATTTAAGCAACTTCCTATCTCTTACAGTTTCTGAAATCCCAATGGTAAGGGTCGAATTTGAAACACCCTGTATAGTACACCTCCTTGTTATATCCACATACATAACATATTATGTTCAGATTCTTTAAATTACGTTGAAAAGTATTTTGTTATCATTGATCATATCTCTTACAGTTTCTGAAATCCCAATGGTAAGGGTCGAATTTGAAACACCCTGTATAGTACACCTCCTTGTTATATCCACATACATAACATATTATGTTCAGATTCTTTAAATTACGTTGAAAAGTATTTTGTTATCATTGATTTGTGGCGTTCGTTGTTGATAGCCTGCAAGCCAATGGATACTGACTGCCCTAATTCCACACCAAAAAACTTTTTGCTGATATATTACCAGCAGTGCCTTCAAAACCAACATATCCAAGGCCATAACTCAAATTCAGTCATATCTATGTGGCAGATTCGCTGCAAATCAGATCTATAGGATCTGTGCCAAAAACGTTTGAAAAATCTTACAATAAGCATGACAGTATGTACCGCATTATTGATCTTTTTTTAGTTTTGACAGCTACTTGTATAATAAAAATATGTGCCGCCACTGCTTCAATAACGGGTTCTATGATCTGTCTGGAGTCCATGAAGGTTGTCATATTTGGATGTTTTTAGGGGAAAAGTCCAAAGTGTTTTACACTCATTTGATACCATATACTTACATAGTTTTTTTCTTAACATTATTTAAGGCAGTAGTCAAGTGGAATCTAATTTTCTCCATCCCATTCTTGGCAGCTTGATTTTTCTGCGATTTTTGGAACGCCTTGTATTCATCTCTCAGAAGATCTAGCAGAGATTTCTATAATAAACAAACATAAAAATGATAACAATTATAGGTCCTCAAAATCAAGCAGCGGAAATGAAAAAATAAAAAATCAAATATTCCCTAGGAAGTAATGTAGGAATATGCGATTTACAATGTTGCCATATCACATCCTGAAAAATATTGACACTGACACCTTACAAACAGGAAACAGGATTATCTTTATTTTTGAAAGCGGCACGTAATGTATGTCATCATTTCTTTGTTTTAAGTCAAGAGGAGGATTCCAAAACTCTTCATCGATAAAAAAAGTCTTGACACTAAGGGCCGTATAGTCAGTCGTTCCTACAATTTTAGGATGCCTTTATGGCCTCCTTGATTGTCATAGTCTTTTATCTGATTCAGAAAGGTTAGGGTATTTCTACATTTCACCTGTTCCGTGTCAGCGTCTCCTATTGTGAAATTGTTTTCTTTTTGAATTTTAGGCAATTTCAAACAGACGATATAAATCAAAAGCACGAACAATTTGATGCAAATAGATATTTGTGACATAACCTCAAACTAGAGCGCTGACACGGAACAGTACAAAACTATGAAAATCAAGGAGGCCATAAAGGCGTCCTACAATTGTAGGAAGCTGCAAAGAATACTTGTATAATATCTTTTTCGAGGAAAACCGAAGCAAGATGCAGGTTTTCGCAGTTGTTGGTAATGCGTCGATAGTTTCACGCAGATACTTGAAATCCTTCAAATCCGGAGGCGTCATATACTTCTAAATAACGACAACAAAATTGGAGTCGTTTGGTCAAGCAGTTTTTGAGAATTTCTAATTGTTTATCACCTTAATAATAATTATCTTTCGGAATGGTTTGTGATTAATGTCGGCAAGGTAAACTCGTGTATATCGCTATAAAATGCCCTTTAAACGAACCCCTAATTGCTCAGTGAACTAGTAGTGATGGCCGGAAGACAGGTGTTTTGAGATAAACAATTAGAAATTCTGAAAAACTACTTGGTCAATCGACACCAATTTTGTTGTGGTTATTTAGAAGTATGAAGCCTACAGATTTGAAGAATTTCAAGTAGCTACCTGAAATTATCGTCGCATTAGCAACAAGAGCCATAACCTGCATTTTGTCTCGGTTTTCGACCATAACATATTTACTATTAGTCGGATTTTGTTACGTGTAGTCTCATTCTGTAGGTCTCATAAATACCTAAAAATCTTATATAAAGAGTTTTTTTCATTCCTGTCAACAGTTTCGATAGAATCCCAAAAAACACGTTTTCTCATTCTTTGTTGTCAAATAAAAAGTTTTCCCACAAAAATTGGTGTACCCACTTTATGCGTCCATGTTTGAAATACCCCCTTGAGCAACTTGCATTAATAAAACCAAACTTTACAATTATTTCTGGAAAATTTGCTAATATGATTAGACTAGTCTCTTGCCACACAAAGAACAAGGCAAATATCTTCGGAGATATAAAAAATATGGCAACAGCGGTCCGCGCGGGTACGGACACTCGCTGTTGCTCGTCGAATGTCAAAGTCAAACTTGCTAACAAAAGTTTTTGGAAAATAGGCTTTATCGTCTTCAAATAATTCGCGCATTGCATCTGCGTAATCTTCACAAAATCTGCATTAAATCAATATTACTCTATGAACGATATGAAACTCTATCGCAAGGTGGTGGAAGGTAGAAATTTAAAGTGGAATAACCTACACCCACTGACTGGGAAAAATAATGGAAGAGATGTTTTTACTTTCGTTAAATAAATGGGTCATCAATTAAAATAAGTCTATTTAACATTCCTTTGTAATTTTATGAAAGACTACATGAGAAATGAAATTTACCTTCACAGTTTCAAACCGACACCAAAATGAAATCGTACCTGTAGTTTTTGTAGTCTTTGTATCAGAAAATATATTGTAGGCTATTTTAAAAGATATTATCTGCTCTTCTGAGAGACTACAATCTTTTTACAAATCTACATATCTAAACAGGGAAAACCAAATAGGACAATATTATTTGGGCATTGCATCTGCGTAATCTTCACAAAATCTGCATTAAATCAATATTACTCTATGAACTATATGAAACTCTATCTCAAGGTGGTGGAAGGTAGAAATTTAAAGTGCAATAACCTGCACCCACTGACTGGGAAAAATAATGGAAGAGATGTTTTTACTTTCGTTAAATAAATGGGTCATCAATTAAAATTCGTCTATTTAACATTCCTTTGTAATATTATTAAAGACTATATGAAAAATGAAATTTACCTTCACAGTTTCAAACCGACACCAAAATGAAATCGTACCTGTAGTTTTTGTAGTCTTTGTATCAGAAAATATATTGTAGGCTATTTTAAAAGATATTCCTGCTCTTCTGAAAGACTACAATCTTTTTAGAAATCTACATATCCAAACAGGGAAAACTAAATATGACAATATTATTTCGTTCCATTATTTTGTAGGTTGCAGATATCAACATGCATTATTTATCGAAGTCCTAGTACTTAACCTTAACTTTTAGGTAATAAATGTTTCAATTGAACAAATCAATTATTTTTAATGTTATCAGTACCAAATAGTTTCTTTGTATACAAGATTTCAAATAAAACAATGAATAGGTACAACCATGTGATTATTTCAAGGAAATTCACAATGAATGGATTTTGCAAGATATGCACTATACATAAGCTGTGATAAGGATTTATAGGAATAAGAAATTTTACTTTGTTCTGATGATTTTTAATTCTTACCTGCTGTAGACCAACGAATATAATATCATCCTCTGCTATGTTCACTTGCTTTTGCAAATCCACATTCTGGAAAATCAGAAGCATGGTTAAGAATGAAGAGGAGAATATTTTTCGAAAAAATACTTACATATGGATCTGCTTTCAGTTTCAGTAAGCACCTCTGAAAATAAAAAGTTTTGAACTTTTAATAACCCATAATGTCATATTTTCAAAAATTTCCAAAATTAATAAGATGGCAAAACACGCGAAAGTAGCCGAAACATGAGCAGTTTGCATCCCTCTCTATCTAAAAGCAACCCCTGTTAAAGAGGAGGACAGCATTTGTAAAGATAAGTTGTAGGAAAACTGAAACGTCCAAAACTTACCTGGTGATTTTGTATTGCATTTTTCAGCCTCGTCTGATTTGATTCGATGTCGCACTTTAATTGTTTAGTTACTTCTAGACCGTTCATGATACTTTACACAGTTTTAAAATCGTTTCCTACTTTATTTTATAAATAAAATGATACTTTCGTAATCACAAACTCGGCACACGATTTTACTTTGACTGAATAGAGAGAGCGAAAATGGATGGAAAGAGATAAACGCGAACTGAATTGCGGCGACGCTAAAATATTTCAAGAATTATTCAATACTTCTTGAACTAAAGGGTGTGCTTTCTGTAATCGCCTATTCGTTAAGTTTGGATGAACAATTTAAACAATACGATCTGGAATAAAATAAGACATTCGTAATAAGTAATGAAGTTGGATAACAGGACATAAGGTCTATAATCGAAAAAACTCGAGGCTGCCCGACGGACGGTTACGAATCTCTAGGTACCTGGTTTATGGTTCAATAACAAACTTGGGTAAAGCAATTAAGCAATTCCCGGAAAAAAACGATTTCTGCACCCTTTTCTTCAGAAGTAATACAGGAAAGGCGAAAACAATATCCAACTGAATTCAAAATATATTATACAGAGAGATATGTCATTGACCCTCCCCTTGAAATAAAATGTGTATTGCCGCCTTTCAGTGAAGGTGAACGATAGACATATTTTTATTTTTTCGGTGAGATTTGCAAGTGGATTCAGACTTGGCGGTGATCTATCTGAGTATTTATCCAAGGTTTTCATACACAAAATCTTATCTTAAGATGGTGGTTCGGCGGTTGCTATAATTTATACAGGGGTATGCAAAGAGTGCCCGATTTTAATTTATGACAAATTCTGTGTCAGAATCGCACTTTTCATTCATTTCTTGTTATGTTTAATACCTGACTGATTCACGCTTCTTGGGATGGTCTAAAAAAATGCAACTCGGTGCAAAACGCAACAAACGTCAGCCGGCGGTTATCACGATGATTTTTTTAAAGAGAAATCAGGGGCGTAGTTCGAATTTTGTTCTAGGGGTAATGCGTACCCTCGCCTTATATCAATCTGTCCCCGAAAAAGCTTCCAAGGCAAAATAATAGTACATACATTAATAACCCACCTAGGTTGATATTAAGCGAGTTATTATATTAGTCGAGAACTTTTTTTATAATGTAAGAGATCAATAAAAATTACCTTCTCATAAGCGAGGTGTAGATATACAGATTTTTTTCACTACCAACACTTTATATCACTATACTTGATTTTTTTAGATACCTTAATTATTCATTAATGTATATATGCCTTAACTGACTAGCTCAAAATATCAAGGGGAATAATCTGCTAAAGTTTTTTTGACTGTTTTACCCTTCTGCTAGCTTCAAAACCATTTTTTCCAGTATCATTTCGATTATAACTGTATTTAAGGCGGACATCTACATAATGTTGACATTATTAACCTAGGTATTTTTTGTTATCATTATTTGTCAAGAGAGAGACCTCAACATATTTTGTGGTATATAGAGTTTTTGACTGAGCTTCTGGGAAGGGAAAATCCAAAAATTTTACTTTCCCATTGAAGAGACTGTAATTTAAGGGCTTATTTAGAGGGGCGTACCTCCCCCCGCTCTTCAATTTTTAATCTACGATAACCTCCTCCCCCTGAGACGAGCATCTTTCTGCTGCCCCCTATCCTAGAGAGATTCTTAAATCCGCCCGAGCTAAAAATACTGATGGGAACAGGGTTTTTGTCAACGGAAGAGGGATGGCTTCCAGCAAAATCGGCCGCGAAACAGCTACAAAACAAAACTGGAGAAGAGTGAATAGCAGTTCTCCACTATGCCTTCCCACGATGAAGGTTAAAATTCCATTAGAAAATGAAACCAACACAACTAAACGTAACGTACAAAATAAAACCTAGTGTTTGGGGGTCTACATCCCAGAATCTGGAACCTAACGAAGCGACCCACGCACAACCAAACCTCAGCAGAAAGAAAATGGGGCTGGACGTATCTGTGCACGCATTTTTTTAAAACAAGGTGTCTTGATAGGAAAAGGAGGTATCTCGATAGGTAAAGAAGGTAACTTGATAGGGCCAAATTTAATATCCCTATACGGCTAGTGCGTAAAGAAATCACAAGGTGGCGCTGATTGCCAATGGGTGGTTGGGTGGAACGAACTCTACGACTGACCAACGATATTTTGTCAGGAAATTTCTGAGATAGTCGTTAATAATACTATAACTTATAACATTAGTGTCCAAAAGATTTCAACACAATACTGAATCGCTGAGAAAGAAAGATATAATACGTGTGAAATTATAAAATCAATAAACTATGAAATTTACTAAAAGATTAAATCAATAAAGAGAAATTCAAATTACTGGTAAGGGATCAAAATAGTAAAAAAAGGTTACGTGATTTTGGCACTTGACAATCTGCTACTTTCCTGCATTTTTGAGAAACTGGCACGGGTAACACGTATCTTGAAAAGTGACCTTATGCCGACTTTTTTTAACACTATGCTGTTTTTTTTTTTGACATTTGTATGTAGGTTTTTCTACAAGATATTAATTTAGCACTTAGTTGTACGTGTTGCCTAAACGTCATGGGGCCTGTTATCAATCTTTGGCTCTGATGTGATGTAAGATCTGCTTCAGAGATGGCATTACTGTAGGTCTAAGCTGTAAGTGGTATGTGTTGATGCTAATTACATTGGGTTCTTGTCTGAAGTACTACACTTAATTGAGATTCAAAGCTAGAAATTAGTTGCGCAGCCAATTACCTATACAAATTTGCTGATTTTTAAAAATGAGATAGTTAAGAAATAATTATATTCACTGTACACTTTCGAATTACAAGCCATATACATGCTAACAGTAATTACACACAACGCGGGTGCGATGATGATTTCTCGTAATTCTTCTCAGTTTTTCGTAATTTATAGCTTTGAACATAACCTCTCTTCAGAAAGCACAACATATAAATAACCCGTCATATTCAGTAATGACCAATACACATAATCATCCAGATGCGATCTTACTATTCAACCAACTTTCTTCTCAGAGATAAAAACTACAGACTAGGACCACTCGGCCTCATAAAACACATGCAACCAATAATGCGTGGAGTTTAGTTGAGTGATTCCTCCATAGATGGACGTTCACAACGATCCTAGTGAGCAAACATGGAACGACTGTTTGCGCCCTAAAAACTACCTAGTTTGCAAGATGACATCTTATAGGTTTTTTTGACGATTTATAGGTTTTTTACATGATACCCGTGCGCCTATTTAGGGGCCATATCGTCAGTCGTTCCTACAATTGTAGGACGCCTTTAAGGCCTCCTTGATTTTCATAGCCTATTCTATCCTTCAGAAAGGCTGGGATATTTCTAGATTTTCACTGTTCCCTGTCAGCGCTCTCCTATTGTTAAGGTATGTTTTCTTCTTGAATTGTAGAAAATTTCAGGCTATATAACAGATGATATAATCAAAAGCATGATCAATTTGATGCAAATAGATATTTGTAACATAACCTCAAAACAGAGCGCTGACAAGAGTAGAAAACAATGAAAATCAAGGAGGTCATAAAACCGTAATTTGTATATGACTAGTAACAGAGGCAACAACTTGTATCAATGGAATGTGAGATATTTGTAGTTTTGAACACTCGTATGACAGGACAAACCAATGACTATAATATTATGAACGACTTTTCGCTTGTCTACAAGTGTATTAAGATTGCGACAGAAATAAAAATGGTCTGTGAAATATGATTAAAACAACAAAAAGTTTCTTTTATTTATTAAAGAACTCTCCAAAAATTGATATCCTCTGCAAAAACGGCTGCGCCTTACAACTGAGCAGTTTATAGTTATTCTCCCACGTTGTATTCCTAGGAAACTTGTTTTCCCTCCTAAATCTTTCCAACATCTCTTGTGGACTAAATACTTTGCCTTTACTTGACAGTATATTCCCAAAGAAATCCGGTAGTGTAATTTCTTCTACAGACACTAGAGTAGTAGTATTACTATCCTCTTCTGAATCGTCTTCCTCCACAGAAGCGCTTTGGTTAGCACTGTCAGTATCCTGCGCCTTTGCAATGCTATTGTTTAAATCTATAGGGATAACCTCTACAACAGCTTGCTCTGCCTCTACAGTCACATTTTCAGCTGCTTTTTCACTTGACGTATTCGTCTGACTTCTTCTTTGATGGATTGTATCTCCTCTAAACAAGGCTTTGTTCTTCTCAAGGTCTTTGAAGTTGAACAAATTGCTTTTAGCAGCTCCGTGGCAACACTGTAATGCAGCAGGGTCTATAGGATGGGCTTCTGTGTTGAAAACGTACCCGCCAGCATCGATAACACATTGACCATTAGCCGTCTCAATTATGGTACCGTAATTGCCTTGATTGTGGATAAAGTTGTCGGTATCAAATAGGAGGTATAAGTACTTTGTTGTTTCGGAAAGGAAGAATGATTCCATCCGGTCTTCTTTTATGTGATCGCGTACGTCTTTGATCTGGAATCAAATTGTACTATGAATACTGGCTAATATTTGAATTATAATGCATCAGTGGTGTAACTACTATACAGGGCGTTTCAGTTTATTGTTGCATAACTTTAAGATTCGATAGAACTTTTAAAATTAATGCATAAAGTCTATATAAACATGGGCCGAAAAATGCGTGGCTTCCGAAATACAGGGTGTTTAAATTTACTTTCTAAAATAGTTTTTTTTTTAAATATGTCGAACAATATTTGATGTATAACAGTGAAAACTTAGTGCAATTTTTTGCTTTTTGAATAAACAAATTGATTCTTCGTACTTTTCTGCATAAAAAAGCTCTCCTGTGAGTTTTCGTTATAGTTAGTCGTTTTTGAGATATTTCGATTTTTAAGGTTCGATGCATTTTCAATTATTTATGGGAAAATAATATTTTTTTTTACATTTTCGATTTGGGCATTACAAGTAATTAAGATGATCGTTTAGATTGTGTTTTTAAACACAGCAATAATTCCTAACTCCAAATAAACACAAAAAAACAGAATATTAATTTGTTTAATTTTCCAATATTATTTTTAACAAATTAAATTGATTATTTACAACTAAAGTGCTATTGGATAGTTAGGACAAACATACAAAATCTAAAGTAGTTGCTCGAAATGTAAACCCAATTGTTCAATACACAATTCACATCTACGAATGATCGAACGTGGTATAGCATCATTCAAATAAGGCCTTATTTCATCACATGCATTCCTGATTCTGTCTATTAGCATATCTCTTGTGGTTACGGGAGTCTGGTACACTTTTTCTTTTAGAAATCCTCACACAAAGAAATCTAATCGATTTAGGTCAGGGGATCGTGGAGGCCAGGCGACTGGTCCGCCACGGCCGATCCATCTTTCTGGATAATTTTCGCCCAGCCAGTTTCTAACTATTCTCGAATAATGAGCTGGACAACCATCAAGCTGGAACCAGGCCAATCTTCTTAAGTCAAACATAACATCATCCCACATATTTGCATGTTCAGCCTTTAAAAATTCCAAGAAGGTCGCAGCATTTAACCTTGCAGGCAAAAGGTAGGGTCCAAATAGTCGATTACTGTAGATACCAATCCACACGTTCACACTAAATTCATGCTGAACATTTCTTTCCCGAACTGCATGCGGATTTTCATGCGACCAAATATGTTGATTATGAAAATTTACCGCTCCACGTCTAGTGAAGCATGACTCATCGGTCCATAAAACGTTACTTAAAAACTCCCTATTATTATCAGTTCTATCAAGAATCCACTGACAAAAAGTGATTCTTCGTTCTCCGTCCTCTGGCTGTAATCCTTGCACAGGTTGCAAATAGTAAGGACGTCTCTGGTCATATCTAAGAACACAGTGAACATGGCTTGCTGAAATTCCCAAGGCACCAGAAACTCTCCTAACACTTGTGGTCGGATCTCTATCAAACTCACGCAGAATCATACGGGAAAATCTGCGCTGACGAACAGTTATGTTTTGATCCCTTTGGAGATTTCCAAAACCATTTTCAATTATTTGGCGATGCACTCTTACAAATACTGAGCGAGTTGGATGTCGTCTGTTGGGAAATCTTCGTGCGTATTCTCTGGCTGCTTCTGCTGCGTTTCCATTCACAAAGCCATACACAAAATTAATATCCGCTAACTCTTGATTGGAGAATAAAAATGGCATTTTTATAAAACTTACAAAAAAAAAACAGGTAAAAGAAACTAAATTTCGTGCATTCACAATTGCAAAAAAACGTTTCAGGTTTCAACAGACAACAAAACTAACTGTCAACTAATTGACGTTTAACCTTATTCTGCTTTCAATTTCAAAAATATTTGCAGGCACAGCCTACTTCTAAAAATTATGGAGATACTGACTTTTTAACGTTATTTTATCATAAATAATTAAAAATGCATCGAACCTTAAGAATCGAAATATCTCAAAAACGGCTAACTATAACGAAAATGCACAAGAGAGCTTTTTTATGTTGAAAAGTGCGAGGAATCAGTTTTTTTATTCAAAAAGCAAAACATTGCACTAAGAAAATTTTTTCGGTCATTTTAATACACTACAGGTACAGTAGAGAGCGTCCTCTAGTGGCTACAGTAAAACTATGCTCATGGTTCGTTTTGTCGTACCAAAAAACCCTTGTATACCAATTTTCACTGTTATACATCAAATATTGTTCGAAATATTTAAAAAAAAAAACTATTTTAGAAAGTAAATTTAAACACCCTGTATTTCGGAAGCCACGCATTTTTCGACCCATGTTTATATAGACTTTATGCATTAATTTTAAAAGTTCTATCGAATCTTAAAGTTATGCAACAATAAACTGAAACACCCTGTAGATCACAACCGTTTCTTCGTGGTAAATGACACTTTTTCATATACTATGTTCATCTATAACAGTGTTGTCATTTGTCTTTGGTGGGTCACAGTCAAGCTACAGGAATTACATACGAGGAGGTACCCAAAAATAACCCGAATAGCATTGCAGTGGGCGGAGCTTCTGCAGTACACATTTCTGCCCCTAGAGGCGTACAGCGCAACTCATTACCAGTTCAGTGCCACCTGAGTTGTCGATCTGGCTTGTTTCGTTTTTTACGATGGCAAGCTTCAGTGAGCAACGTGCAGCTGTAAAATTTTGCTTTCTAATTGGTAAAAATGCTGCTGAAACTGTTTTAATTTTGAAAATAGCTTATAAAGATGATGCTATGGGAAAAACTCAGGTATGCGAGTGGTTTGCTCGATTTAAAAATGGCGACATGTCGATTGATGACAAACCGCGCTCTGCATATCCATCAAATGCCCGAATCGAAGAAAATGTTGAAAAAATTCGAGAGCTTGTGCTATTTAGAGGTTTTAAGACGATTGCGAAACAGTGTCAGGCAAGTCCCGATTTGTGGCAGTCAGGAGACTGGTTCTTCTACCACAATGATGCACCTGCGCACACAGCCAGGTCAATACAATAACGAGGGAGGAGATGTCAGACATTTCTAAGGAAGACAAAAAATGTTTCGAGCAGTAGAAGCACCGGTGGGACAAGTGTATTTCTTATAGTGGACAGTATTTTGAAGAAGATAAGGTTACTTTGTGAAAAAGTTGAAAATAAATAGCTTTTAAAAAATAATTCCTGTTTTGTGGGTACCCCTCGTATATCTCCCTCATAACATACATTTGCAAAGAATAAACCGATTCGTGACACTTATGGCCTTGACGTAAAATTAATAAAAAACAGTAAAACAAATCCTCTTATTACCATCAACTAACCTCATTAATATATGGTTAAAAAGCAATATCTTTCCAGATTGTCTCAAGCTGGCTCTTGTTAAAGCACTTTAAAAAAGAGAATCTACTACAGGAAATTACAGACTAATATCTCTTTTACCAATTATCGCAAAAATATTAGAAACTTGCATGGCTATTCCTTTGAGACAAATGATTTTTTTTTTTGTTGAAAAGCAGTATGGTTTTAGAGCCAACAGAAGAACGACATGCAATCCTTAATTTTGGTATTCGTATGGAATTGTGGCGTAACCACCAAAAACACGTAACTATCTGTAGCTGACAAACAACATATACTAACGGTGGCATATCCACAAGGCGTTTTCGAACTATGTTGGATGCTCCTCAGTATATCTTCTCCAGCCTGCAAAAGATATGGGTCCCCAGTAGCCCTGTACAAATACATAATAGATTCAATCAGTTCTGGTCTGAGAGGGTAGCTTTCTTTGTTGGTCCCTGCTTTTGTCTGGGGAATGTAGTAGAACTCTGGAGTGAAACCATACTGCTGCCACACTTGATGGTAATTGTGAAGGGTACGCATTGCATTTGAGGTTTCCCCTGAAAAGAGTTAAATATCTGCTTATATCTTGACATCTGGGAGTGGCTGGAAGGTTATCAAATAAATTACTATATGAATAAGTCCCGAGGCATCCTTAATGCCTTGCGCAAACGTTTAGTGGTGGACCTCAACGCCTCCTTATTTCACTATTTTGCTCAAGTATCACAGGGATCCAGGCATTTTGCTTCTTATATATATATATATATATATATATATATACGGGTGTCCGCAAAGTTGGGGTTTTCCTTTTCAGAAACAACTACCCTTGAAATAACAAAGGTAATGTGTAGTGAAACGAGGGCGACCAAGTAAAAAAAAATAAAGAAAAAAGTACTCACTCTCCAGTTGACGAGAAGGGCTAAGTACGTCTCTACCCGAAATCATACCGCTCCAACAGAAAATGAAATCAGCTGATGCGCTACCGAGCAGACGCAGAAACCACATTGATTGTCTTACACTTAATGGCACATCTTCTAACAAGGAAGGCAAAATGTTGCGTAAAAAGTCTAGGTATTGCATCCCGTCCAATCGATTTGGGAGAATAAATGGTCCAATGAGCATACCGTTCACCATGCCAGCCCAAACATTCACCGAAAATGTTTGTTGAAAATGTGCCCGACGGACACCGTGCGGATTTTCTACTGACCAAACATGAGTGTTGCGAAAGTTATTCACCCCATTACGCGTGAACGTAGATTCGTCTGTCACCAATATGGACTTCAAAAAGTCCGGATTATTGTCATGTTGATGCAACAACCACTTACAAAACCGCACTCTTACTGGAAAATCGTCAGGTTGAAAGGCTTGTACACGTTGGACGTGAAACGAATACAGCCCCTCTTCACGCAGCGTTTGCCACACTTTAGTTTTTGATACTTGCACTTCTCTAACCACGTCTCTAGTGTTTGTTGAGGGATTCTCGTCTACGCGATTACCTCTACACGCGTGACCGTAACCGTCGGTTGCATACTGACCTGACACACTGACCCCGACCCAGTTCTGTCGTCGGGTTGAGCCAGTGACCTTGTACCAGTCGGTGATGTCGCGGCTACAGGACGGTATTCAGACATTTTTGAGGTTGCAGAGCCCTTTATCTCGGTTCCCTTAAGACATTGGTGTATATGGTAGTAAGAAAAATTGCTTATGTTTTCAAGATCTACACGTCGTGTAAAGGAAACCCCCAACTTTGCGGACACCCTGTATATATATATATATATATATAGTATTCATAGTTAATTGCCTTAACTGTTAGGAGAAAATATCCTTGAGTTTCTTTGGATATAAGGCAAAATATTGCATAAGCACACTCTTATAACTTAAACTCGAGCTTTCGAAGGTCTATGCCTTCATCGTCTGGAGTAAGTCGGCGAGATTTTTGCTGAAATTGTTCTTAATCGGCAGTGAAGGGAACACATAGTCGACCAATAAACAACTGGACCGATGAGGTTCGATTAGGACGGAATTATTTTATTAATTATGTGGAGGTTATCAGGGGAAAAATGAAATCTTGAAGGAATTTTCAATAGTTGATAGTTTTTCAAGTTCTTCCAAAATCAATCAGTGTTTAAAGAAATTTTTTTCAAAAATTAAGAAAACAGCTTGCATTTGGCATTTAATAATAAAATAATTCCGTCCTAATCGAACCTCATCGGTCCAGTGTTTTATTCATCGACTATGTGTTCCCTTCACTGTCGTTTAAGAACAATTTCATCAACAATCTCGTCGACTTACTCAAGACAATGATGGCATAGACCACCGAAAGCTCGAGTTTAAGATATAAGAGTGAGCTTATGCAATATTTTGCGTTCTACCTAAAGAAATTCGATATATATATATATATATATATATATATATATATATATATATATATACAGGGTGTCCGCAAAGTTGGGGTTTTCCTTTACACGACGTGTAGATCTTGAAAACATAAACAATTTTTCTTAGTACCATATACACCAATGTCTTAAGGGAACCGAGATAAAGGGCTCTGCAACATCAAAAATATCTGAATACCGTCCTGTAGCCGCGACATCCCCGAGTGGTACTAGGACACTAGCTCAACCCGACGACAGAAGTGGGTCGGGGTCAGTGTGTCAGGTTAGTATGCAACCTTCAACCGACGGTTACAGTCACGCCTGTAGAGGTAAACGAACTCGTATAATTGATTGCGTTTCAAAAAACAACAAGCACTAGAGACGTGGCTAGAGAAGTGCAAGTATCAAAAACTAAAGTGTGGCAAACGCTGCGTGAAGAGGGGCTGTATCCGTCCAACGTGTACAAGTCCTTCAACCTGACGATTTTCCAGCAAGAGTGCGGTTTTGTGAGTGGTTGTTGCATCAAGATGACAATAATCTGGACTTTTTGAAATGCATATTGGTGACAGACGAATCTACGTTCACGCGTAATGGGGTGAATAACTTTCGCAACACTCATGTTTGGTCATTTTCAACAAACATTTTCGGTGAATGTTTGGGCTGGCATGGTGAACGGTATGCTCATTGGACCATTTATTCTCCCAAATCGATTGGACGGGATGCAATACCCAGACTTTTCAAGCAACATTTTGCCTTCCTTGTTAGAAGATGTGCCATTAAGTGTAAGACAATCAATGTGGTTTCTGCGTCTGCTCGGTAGCGCTTCAGCTGATTTCATTTTCTGTTGTAGCGGTATGATTTCGGACAGAGACGTACTTAGCCCTTCTCGTCAACTGGAGAGTGAGTACTTTAACCTTTATTTTTTTTACTTGGTCGCCCTCGTTTCACTACACATTACCTTTGTTATTTCAAAGGTAGTTGTTTCTGAAAAGGAAAACCCCAACTTTGCGGACACCCTGTATATATAACTTTCCGCGCCAATCGTCAGACCATTAAGCGATAAGTGGCAATAAGCAAACCTCATATCAAATAATGCTGTCTTCTTTGGTATTTGACAATTCTTCCAAAGTGACATGGCAAATAGGGCGTCTTCAGAATACGGAGGCCTCAAGAAGCGACTATGCACAGTGATCATGGCATTAAGAGTTGCAACCAAACGATGTTGTCAGAAAAAATTTGATTTACCAGAGGTTGGTGAGTAAAAAAGATGTCGTATTTTCTGCTAGTGATAACTGCCTCTCTTTACCTATTAAACTAAGAACTCCGGGCCAAAACGCATCCAAGGACTGGAAAACAGGCAGGGTAATTTGTCCTTTCGTCATAGAAACCCACATATACCAGTCGTCTCTCTTTAGATATTTGTCAATTGATTTTCTTGCCTCGTAAAACATTTCCATCAGTTCAGGCCTTTGCAATAAAATCGAGCCTTTTACGAGATACTCAAAGTACGAGTCTACACCTGAGCCAATGCCTGCATCTTGAGCTGTCCACCTGAAATGAAGTTTCGCTTATCTGATAACCGATCGAACAAGTACATGTATTGCTTGGAGTCTAGCAAGCAAAAATGTTTTTCAATGACCGATCGCAAATGCCAGATTTGCGCTCTAGCGCGATAATGCAGCAAAAACCTTCGCATCTATAGTGGAACGCTTCCATGTTGCAAGAATGCCAGGCATCATCATAATATACCGGGCATAACGAAAGTACTTTAAGCAATGGTGAACTTCGATTTGACCTTGAGCTTCACCAAGCTTAGTACACGGTCGATTTTAATTTTTTTAAATGGAAAAGTTTTTTTTCGTCCGAGTATGTATTAAAATCTAAGATCAAGGTCTCTAAAGGTCAAATGTGTAAGGCTGCGGAAAAACTCGTATAAGTCTAACAGGATTACTAATGAAAAAAAATATTAAGGACATATATTCAGTAGCTTTTAAAGACTGTGTCAATGGTGGTCTTGAATTAATCTTCCAATGCCACCTTCAAAGCCAGTCCAAGGTCAAATGTTTTTTCCACTGGGAACCCTCCCTTTTTGACTTCAACAATGGAAAATTGTACGTTCTAATGCCTTCATATATACTGTTATGACCTTGACGGTAAAGCTCAAGGTCGAGTCCAAGGTCAAGATAAAAGTGACTAAAGGTCGGATTTTGATTTTTTTCATCAATAATCCTTTTGATTTTTTGACACAGTTGACCTTTAGAGATAGGCGTGATCTTAGATTTTAGTAGACTTTTGATTTAAAAAGAAAAAGTTCGACTTCGAAATAACCTTGAAGGTGACTCAAGGTCGAGTTTTACATTAACAATTTCTTCACGAACTGATTCAGATGGATTTCTTTAAGATCATCCTGATTATGTTTTGGGGTGTTTACATCAATGGATTATCTGTCAGTACACAGTGCTGCGAACCATTGAACAAATTCTTGCTAGAAACATTTTGAGTTATGCATATTGTGGCTTTGATTTCCAGGCAAATCTCATGAAGAGAAACAATATTGTAGAATTTAGTAGTTCTGCCTAAGTTCTATACTTGAACTGAAACGTTATTCAATATGATGGAAAGGAAAACAAGGTTGGTACCATGGAATTTGACGTCCAACTTGGCAAAAATTAGAACATGTTCTAATTTCGTGAAGAAATGCACAGAGTATTTATTTGACGTCAAATTCCTGTTTTACACTTTTGAAATATGACCATGAACTCAATTCATGGAGAAATCCGTGGATTTATTGTCAATGTAAAACAGGTCGATCTGATACCTTGACCCTTTTTAAACATACCCCATTACATTTGTTACACTGGTATATGCATTGATTACCATCAATTTTACAACTATAAAAAGCTAAATTGCTGCAGTGTTAGAAAAATCTCATATACATTTTAAGCGCAAATAACTATGAACAAAAATATTTTGATACCCAGCAAGAGGCAAGGTATTGTAATGACCCAATGACTAATCACTTGAATTAATGCAATATGTTCAACACATAATGCTACCCTGTTGTATAAAAACTAACAAACCAAAATATGATTAAATACCTTCCAGAATCTATATCAATATGGTTTCCAAGCAGTCCCAGTTGTGACCTGTGATCAAACAGAGCATACAATGCATTCATAGCAACCTGTAAATAATAAATGCTTAGTTTCAAAACATAATTTTTGGGCAGCCAGGAATATTTGTTGATTAAAAGAAATGTCCCAATAGATACTTTGGGATTTGGATTTAGTGCCGTTTTTCAACCGATTGAGCTAGTAATTTTATATTGTGCAGGCGTCATTGAAGGATTCGACAATTTAATTTTATGCATGGTCTTACGATGGATGAAAGCATCAGAATTGTGCAAATCTACTAATAAATTTCTCTCTAATCATTTTCCTGAAGATGAAACTTTATGATCTCAATTATACATTATCTTAACAATATATACAGGGTGACTTTGAAGTTGAGTCATTAATTTTCAGATAATGATTGTAGAAGGAAGATAAACCAAAATATGTGTGTAAAAATAAAAAAAAAATAAAAAAAAATGTTTACCTTGTTTTATAAAGTATCCTCCCGACAAGTATTTCAGTGCGGACCTGTATTTGATCGTGAGGTCCCCTGTGAGGTCTTAAGTCACCTGATTCACAAGCCCGTTGTACTACATTAACAAAGGCACGAGGGGTTGGTTGCACTCGATTGGGAAACCGATCCGCATAAACATGTGCCATTTTTTATTTCGTTTGAGCCACGCAACACATACCACTATTCACTGACACTAACTGTATACAAATGAATGAGATACCTGTAAAAACATCGTTCCAAATTCTTTCGCTTTTTTGTTTCCGATGCGATGAACCGATACGGCGGATTATATCCATTGTCGCCAAACACGACCACATAATATTGTTATTGAGACAGGGCGGTACTCAAACTTCCAAAGGGCTATAACTTTGTTACTTTAATTTTACCAGGAAAATGGTAAAGGAAAAAAACATTTCTTTTGATCAGATCTACTCACTGTTAAAATAAATGACTCAACTTCGAAGTCACCCTGTATATATATATATATATATATATATATATATATATATATATATATATATATATATATATATATATCTTCAACTAGATGAGACTACAAGTATGTGTCACGACGCAAAGTAAACTTTGGAGTTGCTACAGACATGTTTTTTCGCAGTGTTTATAGGAATGCTGATCTCTACTGACATGCATGGAATCAATGGTGCTACCAAGCGTCAACTTTCTGGCAGAAGATGATGTTCGTTAAGGGAGCAGTGATTTTTGACAGGTTGTAATTCGGTGAAAAATGAGCGTATTTAAACTTAAAAAAAGCAGTTAGACCTTTCAGATTCTAGATGTCAAGTTTCTTTTAAAAGCAACTGTTCTCTTGCAATTCTACTAGATTCAACAAGAAACATTTTTTGCAAAAAATATGCCTCCTCTTCAGTTCACGGACTTGAAATTTTTATTTCTAACCCATCATACGTACTAGATTGTTACCGATATATCATTGATGAATGACAAACGGATTCTTTTACATTCAAAGCCAGTAATCTTCGCGCCAAATGATCGTATCAAGATTCCAAAAACAGGATAATGAAGGTGAATAAACGGACTATGTGGTCCATTTGATGGGACAATAGAAAAAAAACTTCAAGCCCGTGGACTAAATTTTTTTCTGGCGCTATGTTAGAATTTTCTTGCTAAAAAATCTGAAAATTAGCATCCTGAAGCTTCAAAATGCATTTTTTAGAGTCTAGATACGACCATTTTTTCACCGAAATACAGCCTGTCAAAATTCACAGATAAGAAATATGTTTGTGCCTCTACATTCTCTTCTTGTAAATAGATATTTCTGTTTTAATGTGAAATTTTGAATAGAAACTTGTTAGATAAAACGTAAAAATAATTTGATGTGTATGAATACTTAAATCTAATCGAGTTGTTTCACATTTAGTTTAAAATATTATAAAACTCTAGATATACTATATAGTGACATATAAATCCGAACACCCAGTTTAAATGGTTTTATTTTAATAAAATTTTGTATAAGTACTTAATGAAGCATAATAAGTAAATGATAAAAATTTTAAAATGATTGCACTGCTTTAAAGCCCTTTGACCTTTAATAATGTGTGGATGCACCCTGATGTGCTACGCATTCTCCAACGCACCTAGGCATGCTTCTGATCAGGTGGTCAATGTCCTCCTGTGGTATCTCACTCCAGGCAACCACCAACTCATCTCGAAGTGCTTCTAGAGTCTGAGGAGGACGTTGCAAATTGAGCAATATCCTACCCATCATATCCCACACGTGCTCAATTGGGGATAAGTCGGGAGATCTTGGTGGCCATGGTAACAATGTGACATCATTATGTTGAAAGAAGTCTATTGTGACTCTTGCAACATGTGGTCGGGCATTATCTTGTTGGAAAGTTGGATCTGCCAGGGTGTCAAGATAGGGTAAAAGATGGGGTTCTAGAACTTCGTGGATATAACGCTGCGCGTTCATGTTACCTCTGATGAAGATTAAAGGTGACCTGGAACCATAAGCTATAGCACCCCAAACCATAACTCCAACAGTGTGATGAACATGTCTTTCAACAAAAAACTGTGGATTCCTCCTTTCACCACGTCGCCTTCTAACCCTGGCACGACCATCGTGCATGCCTAAACAAAATCGAGACTCGTCACTAAAGACAATACTGTTCCATTCCTGATCCCAGAGTGACCGTTGTCTGCACCACTCAAGGCGATTACGTCGGTGTTCTCGAGTTAAAGGGAGGACCCAGTGTGGCCGGTATGAAAACAAGCCAAACCTTCTCATTCGTCGGTAAACACTTCGCATGCCAATAGGTCTTCCGTGTTCTGCAAACCATTAATTTGCAATGGACCTGGTAGTGGAGAAACGGTCCCTTAAGGCCAATAATCTTAGGCGGCGATCTTCACGGTCTGTTGTTCTACGGCGGCGTCCAGTGCCCCTTGCTCTTTGCGTACGGCTTTCTCGAAGCCATGCCTGACAACACCTAACCACAGTGTCTAGACTTCTTTGCACTCTAACTGCAATTGCCCGAAAAGAAAGTCCAGCTTCCCGAAGTCCCACTATACGGCCCCTATCAAACTCACTAAGTTAACGAAATCGTACAGGTCTCCGTACTCTAGGCATCGTAACCGATCGTAAAGGATGTTAAGAACCAAAATCCGCCAACGTTGATTCTTTACTGCGGCTGAAATATTCATTTTTAGAGCGTTAGTGAATTAAAAAAAAGCAGTATAAAAACCGGAATGTCCAACTGATAAGGCTGAAAATTTTTTCACTTGTTATTTACACTAAGATAAATACATTCACCAACTTTTATTAAAATAAAACCATTTAAACTGGGTGGTCGGATTTATATGTCACATATTTATTACACTGGTCAGAAAAATCCAGTCAGTTAAAATATATAGAAACAGAGACAGGCAGTTGTAGCACCAGAATTATTTTCGCAAATAATTTGAAAATACCTGAAATGACACACTCCCGTAACGTTACGGTGATGAATTTCATTGAAGTTGAAAACAATGACGCCACGTAGGTTGTCACAGCACTTCCCACGCAACGCCCTTATCAGTTCATCAAGGATTATGTTCAGCAAAAGCTAGACCCTCTGAGAAAAAAGTCGGTCAAACAGGGCAACACAACTAGACCATAGACATAGTTTCCCTGCCCTACCGGTAGTCAATCTGGAAAAGTCGCCTCTTCCAGATACTTAACTTGGTCAGACGTGGTAACATAGCAGTGCGGTCAGAGCTTAGGAAACACTATGCTGTGTCGCGGAAGAACACGTGTGATACCAGCAGCAGCCGCGGCCGGGATCAAATATGTCTAAAAGATTTGTAGAATTACCGATGTTGTGAGCGTATAAATGTACTAACATCAAAAAAATGCTCACCCCCTACAACCCACCCAAGTTTTTCAAAAATGTCCAGGATTCTCTGAAACGTCAAAAACGATGTTTGAAAGATTTTTACTTCTTTCATTTTTAGGCCTTTTTTCTCTGTCACCACTCGACCGATTTTCAAGAACTACATGCATCCTTGGCATAGTATTTGTGTTAAAATTTAATCAAAATCTGAGCTATAATACTCAAGTTATATGTACGTCATATAACATCTAAAAAACATATTGTCGCGATTACAATCCTTTTCAGTCAGTAGGCGTGGGAATTAAAATTACCAGAGCAGGAAACACCCGATTTACGGGTATAATGTCATAACGTCAAATATGATTTCCGCAAAATTTCTCGTGAATACTGATTTTGTGGAACGTTTTTGCTCAAACGAATGTAAAATTCTTGACTTTATTTATAAATCCTGAAGTATCTATTGGGATGCCCATCAATTGAAAATATATACCTCTTCATACAGAGGATCTCCAGTCAGTCTACTAAGTGTACCAAACTCTACAATGAAGGTCCCTACTCCAGCAGTGCAAGTCACTGTAGTTTCACCCTTAGGTACGCCACTGTGAAGGTTCACGGTACCATATGGCATGCCTGTCTTTGTGTCAAATGCTACAATCAGTCTTTTGGCCACATCTTCTGCTAACCTCAGTAAAGGGCCATTACATGGCCAACCTGGTTCTAGTTTCATGCCAGCTCTAGGAAAATAATACAACTTTCATCAAAATAATAAGAAGATTTTATATCACATAATGCATATCAAGCAAGTAGTTTATAGCAAACATATTGAACGATAAAAGCAGGAAATGCAATTGGGTAATGTAACGTTTTTTTAACAAAGCTTCAAAGTTATAGAGGTGTTTGCAAGCCATTTCACATGGATACAGCAATATATTCTTGTGAACTGTAAATGCACCAAGCAAAATGTTGAAAAAAATCCATCAGGACAAAGTGCAATTATACATGGAAAACCAAATTAGGTACTGTCAAACCCTAGAAAGAGGTCTGTTCGAACATTCAATATGGTACACATATTAAACTCAAGCCATCAGATAAATTTGGTTCTCAGTGTATGTTTTTTATTCTTCTAATCACTTATTTAATGCAGAAATATGTTAATTTTTTTGAAATCTCTTAAGCTGGTGTCACAACAATTTTTTAAGCAGTTACCAATGACTGCCATGGCATGGCAGGAAGTATATGTCAGTCAGTCTATGATTTACCACTTTAGAGTAGATGTTGATACTCAGGTAATAGTAATTGCTTTTAGTTAGTGCCTTTTACGTACAATTTTTAAACGCGTCAATGTGGGAAATGTTTAGTTCAACTTGCAAACATGAACTTTTTGTTGAAGTACAACTCATGAAAAATATTTCACTCACTACCAAATCACATGAAGTAACAACAAATGTTATAATAAAAAACAAGCAATGAATTACAGAAAAATTAAGTACTGACAGTCAACACATATTGTGACAGTTGTGAAAGGAATCCTCACTTTTGCATTGAGAGTTTTGCATAACTTGTTTCTATGAAGTTTTAACCAAATCTTGTTTGTTTTTGACAAAAATGTTGTGTTGTATATCTTTAATATTTAGGAAATAAACAATTTGAATGTAAAACTATTGAAAAACCCTGTTGCATCAAAAGTTGGCATATGAATTAAATTTGATTTAATCATAGTCCTCTGGCTGAAGTGGCTGAAAAAATAAATAGAATACTTAGTGGTCTGTATGGACCACAGTGGCATGATAGGCTTGTTGTCAAGTTTAACATGTTAATTACCCAGTTTATAATTGGATCTTGAATATATGCTGTTAGTCCCTTCAATTAGAACCTATAACTTACTTATTTGATAATAAATGAGCGCTGAGCAATCCCCCGATGATTCTTATATTAGTCTCGAATACAGATACATTAATGTTAGCATCAAAGTCAGTTTTGGCTGACAATATGTCAACTACCCTTTGAAACTCAGAGTAGTTCCCCATAACAGCCAATGTGTCAAGAGCATCAATCAGTGTCAGTGAGTAGCTACCATAGGTGTCAACCCCATCGCAACTGATGGGCCGTAGCTCATCGTATGGATAAGCATACCTCAGGTAACTGTCATATGCATGGTAAAACATCTCACGCACTTCTTCTCTAGAGAAAAAAATAAGAGTTAACTTAGCAATTCAGGTGTAAAGATTTCACGTTATTTTGCTTACCTTAGCTTGATCAAATCATCTTTGGTGTACGTCCTCACAGCGCAGGTAATTTTTACAATAAATAATAATAAAAACCATTTATGGATGAGTGGCAACAACATTTTGATGTTCAAATTTAATTTTACATGGCTTCATCGAAATCTTCCACAAGCAAAGTGAGGTTATGGTTGATTCTCATTTGACAACTCAACAGCTGACCGAGCTGTTATTGATGTTGCCTACCTTTTAGGATTTCCTTAGGGGCAAAAATTGATATTTGTTTTTCCTTGAGCTACAAAATGGGGGTCTTCTTGATATTTGTAATAGAAAATAGGTAATAAAATCAGATAATAAATTATAGTTAAAAATATAAAAAAAACACGCCTTAATAGTAAATCAAACTAAAAAGTATAAAATAATTTTCAAGTATATAAATAGACAGTCCGACAAATTAATTTGGAATAAATATAAATATTAAGATATTAATTGTTTGAATTATTTTTTTAGTTGTTATCTTTTTAGTACGATTTGCTATTAGAGCGTGCTTTTCTTATTTTTTGCAAACTATACAGGGTGTCCGCAAAGTTTGGGTTTTCCTTTCCAGACACAACTAGGCTTGATATAATAAAGCTAATGTGTGGTGAAACGAGAGCAAACAAATAAAAAAAATGAAAAAGTACTCACTGTTTCAAGTACTGCTCTGTCGTAAAATCCGAGGAGCACATGTAACAAAAATAACAAAAAAGAGATATGACGTCTGTGTCACTTTTTCTTGGTGAACGTATTTTATAAGTACTGTTCGAAGCTGTCGCCGTTGGATTCAAAAACACGTGCGTGCTCGACGTAGCCAAGCATCGGTGCAGGCTTTCCCCGAATGAATGCAGCAACTTGATCAATTATTAGACATAATTCGTCAACGTGAAACGGGTACAATCCCTCATCATGCAGCGTTTGCCACACTTTAGTCTTCGACACTTGCACTTGTCTAGCCAAGACCCTAGTTGAAGGATTCTCATCTACGACATTCAGTACTCCTTCCTCAGTTTGCACCATTCAGGGTTTTCTCGGTCTCCCACTGTGCCCACCTCGACATTCCTCCAAACGACCCGTATCCCGGAGTCTCTGCACAACGTAAACAAATCTACGGGGCCTTGGATGATGATGTCTGGCAAAACGATCTGCATACACTCGCGAAGCCGCGGTCGCATTTTGAAGACACTCACCGTGAATTAACAGCATGTCGACTAGTTCGCTATTTGTGTATGAGCGTGCCATTTTTTATTTTTTGAGCAGCAATCGGTTACCGATGTTACGATTTGTTGACCAACACTACCGGCGTCTAGGTTAGGTTGTATACTAGCGTATTTACATCGTAGTCGTACGTCGTATAACTCTGTACGCTGGCGCTGTGGACGTGATCGAGGGATAGGACCGGCTTCGGTTTGGTTCATTGAGCTAGCCGAGCCCAATATCTCGGTTCTCCTAAGACATTGGTGTATATGCTACTGAGAAAATCCGCTTATTTTCTAAAAATCTACACGTCGTGTAAAGGAAAACCCCAACTTTGCGGACATCCTGTATTTTCTGAATTGTTTTTGGTGCTTTATTACAAATTTTTTCAAATTTCCAAAGTTTTCAGAATTTACAAACTTTTATCAAAATTTCCAAGCGTTCAAATTATTTTCCAAATATTCAAATCCAATTTTTTTTCAAATTTCAATATGAAATCATTTGAAAATCTTCAAATTCGAACTTTTTTCTGACATTATTTATGGTATTGTCACTGGCCCTTGACTCCTAAGATATTTTTCAAGTTACTCAGACTTCTTGAAATTGGTGAAAATTGTGTTAAAACGCTGAATGGTGTCTTGAACGAATCTAGAGGTCTAAAATGTAATATCATAACCATTACAATAAATAAAGATTATAGTGATTCCACATACTAAATCAAACATTTATTGAAACAAGTTTTACAAAAAATACATCAACATCAACAAATTAAACATAACATCCATATGAATCACAATATCACTTTGTTACATATGCACTCTCGCGTGGCTTTTCACAGCCCATTCAGTTTCAAACATCTTTCCACATTCTTTGCATTCCACTTTCTTTTCTTCAACAATATTATGTTTAGACTTTCGGTGCCATCTACAAAAAAACCGACGAAATTATTGAAGGAGTACTCGGCAAATAAATGAACGTGAATTCTCTGCATTTAAGTTAATCCCTTCGGGATCCTCAATCTTTGAATTGAAACTGAATTTAATTAAAGTAAATAAAGATTGTTCTTTAAAATTTGCATATTTCGCGTGGTTTTGAAATTCAAAATATAATTTTCTTGGTAAGTTATACAGCCATTTTAAATGTCACGTTTCATACCTCAAGGAAACATTCTGTCTAAAGCCTTCCCCGCACACTTCACATTTATAAGGATTATCATTGGTGTGTTGTCTTTCATGAGTCTTCAAAGCGTGTTTGCTACTCAATGCTTTGTTACAAAATCGACATACGTGTTTTCGTAACTTCAAATGTTTCATTTCGGTATGTTTGTTCAGTCGATGTCCCGTGACAAATCTTTTACCGCATACTTCGCAAACATGGTTTCTTTCACCTGTAATAAAAATGTTTCCTTAAATATTAATAGATAGTTAAAGAATTTCTATGTATCTCTATAGAACCAAACATGTAGTGACTAGTCAAACTTTCTCTCCCTGAACAGACATATAACATTCTCTACAATCTGAAGTAGTCAGTAACAGAGGAAATCATTACTGCTGTGAGGAAAATGCTTGACGAAGACCGGAGAGTGACATACCAACAGATAGAGGAGACCTTACACCTTCATGACCAGCAATTCTTTCAATTCTGCCTGACCATTTACATGTAAGGAAACTTTGTTCTCTCTGGGTACTGCATAGCCTGGCGGATGAGCAGAAGACTCGTCGTATGACTTGTTGCAAAACTTTTATAGTACCCTTTGTATGAATGTGACATTATATATAGGTATAGATAGATAGTGGATACTACCAACTTAACGTAGGCAGAAATCGTGCTGTAAATCTCAGCCGGCCATATCTGTCAACAGAGGGTATGTTGGTAAAACTGGAAAAGCACCAGGCGCACAGCAACGTAAGTACCTAAACCAGACACTTAACGCTACTTCCGTAGAGAGAAAACCAGTCAAGGAGTTTCTGATTCGTCAAACGACGAAGATGGAGCGATTTTTAATTTTTTTTGGGCCGTTGCTTCACTGCCATGGATCGATTACCAAAAACTACCAAGCTTTTACATCATTGACACACGAGTTACCTTGTGTCAAAATCTCATCAAAGTCCGAGCGGTACTTTTCAACTTAAGGAGGGCCAAGTAATAACGGACAGACCGACGAGATAAGACACATGGTTTTCCGTGATATAACATTAAAAAACAATATCGTATTTTCGAAACTCTTCCAGACCAGTTGACATATCGAAGATCGACCCTAAAGAAGTGCAGGTCCACAGCTTTCTCTTTCTGTAGTCAACAATATCGCGATTGAGGAGTGTATCAATGGGAGATATTTGTATTGACCTCAGATATCCAGCTGGTGTCAGTCTATGTGTTAAACTTCGAAAAGTCCAAACGTGAAAGAAACTTTTTAAAGTGGTGTAGCTATTTAACGTATCGTCTTTTTCGCGAGTATCCCTTTCGTAAGACGTGAGAACAATAGTAGTAATAAACGTCTTTATTTATAACTAACAGCTGATTATCTAGCAATATACAGTCAACGCTAGATCTGTAGACACAGTCGTATTTTGTTGTGGTCTTTTGTACGATCCGAATTCACACCTCCAAACACCACTATTATTTAGTACCTTCGCGCACAAGAAAAAACACTTCAAGCAAAATAGCTGCTGATGATCATGTTTATACAGGGTGTAAACGTTATGATAGTCATTATTTAAATGGGTGATAAAGGTGGTTAAAAGAAGCAAACAGTTTCATATAACATGGGGGTCAAAACGGTATTTTTTTAGAGAAAAGCGACTTTAAAGTAAAATAAAATCTGACAACGCCGCAAGGCCAGACGCAAATTACGACGAAACGCAGTGTAAATAAAGATGGAGTTTGTTATTTTTGGCTCTTAGGTATTATTTCATTATTTGATAATGTATTCGTAAAATGCAAACAATTAAAAATAACGGACTTACCACTAACTCTATCAGCGCTTCACCTGGTGTGTGAAAGTTTATTGAACGTATTAAAAAAATCCACTTATAAATAGGGAACACAATTTTGATACATACATTGCTTTTCTTTTTAAAACCCACACTGCACTTTTTTTGTAATTAAAGAAGCTGTTCAAAATGTTCCCCCTAATACCAGAAATCCATCGGATTGAGGTCAGGAGATCCACAAATTCTGTCTCCGTTGTAATGGCATGTTGTCTAAGGTCTGTTCCAAAAGTTCTGGTAGGTTATTGGCTAGAAAGCTAAGGTATCTTTTTCCTGACAACTTTGGGGGTAACTCGAAAGGGCCAATTACCTGATCGTCAAGAATACCCGCCCAAATATTTATTTTAAAACCTTGTTCGAAATGACCTTCACGAATGGTATGAGGAATTTCTTGGGCCCACGTGTGAGTATTATGGAAATTTAATATCCCGTCTCGCGTAAAAGTACACTCGTCCGTCGCTAGAATGTTTTTAAAAAAATCCGGATTTTCAATGTTATTGTGCAAAAACCACTGACAGAATGTTAGTCTGCGAGGATAGTCTTCTGGTAACAAGGCCTGCACTCTTTATACATGGTAGGGATAAAGCAATTTTTCCCGTAGGATTCTATGGACTATGGTATGCGATAGTCCTACGCGGCGGCCTAATTCCCGAGTGCTGATATCTGCATTGATTTTCACGATATTTAAAATTCGTTCCTCCTGCTCTACAGTAACCTGTCTTTCACGAGTGCGAAAATTAGCGGGCTGTATCTCGAAGTCTTTGGTACACTTGCACAAATGTGCTTCTGCCTGGGTGTACCCGTTGGCGAAATCTGATGCGATAAATTTGAGCTGCAAGATTTGAATTCTGACGAGCTTCACCGTAAACTACCAACATGTCGGCGAACTCTTGATTCGAAAACATTGTATTAAACACGACGACGTACGCGAACAAAGACAAAACAACATACTAACCACTGTTACCGTTTGCGATAGATTGCCAGTTCGATAAGAGTGATGAAAAACCGACGCGCTGTTGTCATCTGTGTTTTAAATATTTAATTTAATAAAACTTACTTACTGACTACAAATTTTGGCTAACTTAGAAAAACTGAATGCCATTTATTTGTTAATTACCCAATTTAAAAACGTTTTAGATTAGATTATAAAAATTAGTAAGATTGTGGTCGATATAAAGCACTTAAAGTTGTAAACTATAAAGCTGTTTAGACAAAAATCTATTGACTTTTGTACCATGGGTCATATGAACTTTTTGACTTGTTTTGACCCCCCGCTATTACCCATTTCAATAACGACTACCATAACGTTTACACCCTGTATTTCAAGTCACGTAGGAATAAACCAAGATAAACAGTTTTTGACAATGTTTGAGTTTTACCCAATTTACACACCCAATTGATTAAAGCCAACACTACAGGCTTTCATACAAAGATGTTCACCTTTGTAGACGTCAAAACGTGAAGGATACTCGTAAAAAAGATCATACGTCAATACATGAGTTTTGTTTCTACTAACCTGTATGCTCTTTTTTCGTATGCAGCGTCAAGGCGTACTTTTTCTTGAATACCTTGCCACAGTGTTCACAGGGTAAGGATCTCTGGGAATGAGTGTAGTACAAATGGCCTCTGAAACTACTGATATTCTTGACTACTGCGCCACACAGGTGACATACTAATTGTGACGCACTGTGCATCTTGTAGTGTGTGTAGTAATTCTGACGACCCACCTCTCGCTCACAAATTGGGCATTTGACTCGTTGGTGTATCTTTAAATTAAATGGAATATTTGGCAGGTGGTTTATTTTCAAATCATACAAGTTATGATTAAAAATAGAACGACTAACTCGATAGATCAAAATGGCACAGACTAAGCCATCTAAGAGTAATATTAGCTAAGAATTAAAAAATAATCAAGTAGATTGACTCAGTACTGTCTGTCTACTTGTAAGTATGCAACTTGAGAAATGAAACTACGGAAAATACGTATAAAAAATTCGGGGGGTCGTGTGAAGACGCTGTGGAGGGAGGTATGGCCCGATGGTTCGCTCTCTCTCTCTATGCAATGCCCTCTATGCTCAGTTCGATCGGGAGATCTCGGCGAGTAAGTGATATTTACGTGTGCTTGTTGAATGTAACCCTTTTTTACCTGCCGTCGGCAACATCAAGTTTCTTGCAAAGCTAAGCAAGAATGGTAGTGAGATTTTTGAGTGTTTGGAACAACTTTACGGAGACAATTCTCTGAAGGAACCAACAATCAACAAGTGGTTGAAAAGGTTTCGGGGAGGGCCATACACCATTTACAGAGCAATGGGTAATAAAAAACAATTAATGTACTAAATTTACTTAAAACTAACTTTAGCGAAACTACAAATTGACACGACACTGGGTTCTTACTTCTGAAAAACTGCAGCAGAAAATGTCACAGACGTTGTAATGATCTCTAGCATTAAGTCTCGGTACAAAGATATTTAGCTGTGATAACAGGTCAATTTCGCCATTTAGTAGTTTATGCAAAAACAAAACAGATGCCTGACCTCTACGGCTCTCTAAAGTTTGAAAGTTGAATCTGTTCACAAGCATCACATAATCACTACCTCTTTGTGGATATACCCCATCAAGCTTGAAAGATAAGATATTTTTTTGAACCTTTTCGATACATGTTTTTTAAATATTGTAAATTGGGTTCCATATTAGTGAACAGTATTCTAATTTCGACCTGACTAGACTAGAATACAATAAAGTTAGTGCCGACAGATCAGTAAAAAGCTTAAAGATTCTTATGATAAAGCCATATGATCGAAACGCATTCATAACAATTTGATTAATATGTGTGTTGAATTTTAATTGACTGTCAAAGCAAACGTCTAGATTTCTGATTGAGTCAGTTCTCGAAAGGTCTGTACCATTAATTATTATTATTATTATGATAATTGAGATGAGCAGAGTACACAGTACTATAAGCTCATGCAGTAAATATAGTGTACGGACACGTAACACAAATACATCAAATAGAGAAAAATAAAAAAAGACAGTTCATAGCTATAAAGTTTGTACACTCCTCCAGCTATCATACTGCACTTTGAAGCTATTAACTGAAGTAGCACCAACCACACTTTCAGGTAAACTATTCCAGGTGTTGAATATGCGGTTGGGAAGAAACCACTGTCGGACTGTTGTTTTAAATGGCTCCTTATGCAGTTTGAAGCTGTGTCCGCGTAGATTGCTGCGCGACAGACGGTATAGATGCATGAGGTTGGTGCCCATCAAACCATGAAGTATCCTGAACGTAACTATAAGATCGCCACGAAGCCTTCGCTCAGAGAATGAGGTCAGGTTGAATAATTCAAGGCGATCTTCATAGCTTGGTCTTCGTGCTCCAAAAGGGATACGAGTAGCCCGACGCTGTACTGATTCGACGAGATTTCTATCGCGCAGAAGCACAGTGTCCCATACCGGGCCAGCGAATTCAAGAATTGGCCTCACGAATGCCTTGTAAATGTAGGCGCAAGTGTTGACATCGGATCCTTTGAAAGATCTCTCCAGCATGTATAGAAGTTTCTTGGCTTTTGATGTAACGTGGTGAATATGCTCTGACCAGGAAAGACGATCGTTGACTACAACGCCCAGATCAGTGTGGCTGGAAACTGCTTCGATGTTGTGGTCAGAGATCTTGTATGTAAATCGCGGATTTGTCTTTCCGAGGTGAAGGACACAACACTTAGTTAGATTTAAGGGTAAAAGCCAACTGACTGACCATTGACAAACAATATCAAGATCTCGTTGAAGCATAGCAGAATTTACGACAGTATTGTAAATCTTGGTGTCGTCGGCATAAGCTGAACATGTGGAGGAAATCAATGCGGGCAGGTCACTTGTATACAGAAGGAACAGCACTGGCCCCAAGACAGAGCCTTGAGAAACTCCACTTGCTACATGATGAAGGTGAGACTGGCTATCACTGACGCGCACAGAGAAAGTCCTCCCGGTGAGAAAAGCCTTAATCCACAGTAACAACTCGCCTCTTATCCCCATACATTCCAACGCAAACAGAAGCCTTCTATGTGGTACGCGATCGAAAGCCCTAGAAAAATCTAAGTAGATTATATCAACAGGAGTCTTTGTGTCCAGATACTGAGTCTAATCGTTGAGAGAGTGGAGAAGGTTGGTCATTATTGATCGACCAGCGAGAAATCCATGCTGATTCTTAGGGATAAGGTCATTTTCGAAAGCAAATGACAGGAGCTTATCTAATATGATTCTTTCAGCTATTTTGGCGGCGATAGGAACGAGACTTTTTGGTCGATAATTTTTAGCGGAGGATTTGTCGCCCTTTTTGAATACAGGGGTAACAGAAGCACTAAGCCAGCATGAGGGTAGGGTATGAGATCTAAAAGACGATGTGAATATCAAACTTAATGGTAGGGCCAGTGCTGAAGCGCAGTTTTTAAGTACAGCAGCCGTCATCCCATCTTTACCAGGGGAGGAAGAGGTCTTCAGATTTCGCAGGTGCATTAATACATCTTCAGGCAGGAACTCAACTTCGCAAAGGCTGTTGGGACACCTATGGCAGATAGTGGTCGGTAGGTCTCCATTAGGCTCATCAACGAAGTCATCACTAAAGGACTCTGCCAGTAAGTTGGCAGATACGGTGGCATCCATGTGGAGATGACCGTCAGCGTCGCGGATCTGAGGTGATGAAACTTTGGAATTCAGGTTTGTTCTTAGATACCGAAACAGCTTCTTATTTTTGGAGGTAACGAGTTTTCGTTCATAAGCATGTTTGGCATTATGTAACGTTCTAGATAGGAGGTTAGAAAAGGATCGATGAGACAGGTAATCTTGTGAATGGCCACTCCTCCTAAACCGTTGCCACAAAGATCTCTTGTGACGAAGCATTGTATAAGGATATAGTATAAGTGGAACGTCGGCTCAAGGTTACTATTCTGCATTTGGAGATATTTAAATGCAGATGACTTCTAAGACACCAGTCATGTAAAACATCGATCTGCGATTGCAGGGCAGCACAGTCTTCTAGACATGCAATGGACGCATACATTTTTAGATCGTCCGCAAACATTAATCTATTGCATTCCAGTGAAGTGCATAGGTCATTAATATATAACAAAAATAATAGAGGTCCCAAATTGGACTCCAGTGGTACTCTACTAGTAGAAACATAGTAACCAGATGTGGTTGAATTAATGTGAACATATTGCCGTATCTGATGCAGATAAGATTTTAGAAGATTTAAGAAAGAACTATGAAGGTCTAAAGAAAAAAGTTTGTGGAGCAGAACACTGTGACTGATTTTATCAAACGCCTTGGAAAAGTCAACATAGACAGTATCTACCTGACCCCGTTGATCTACTGTTTCGCACAAATATTGGTCGAAGATTGCAAGGTTACTAATAGTTGATCGAGAACGTACAAAACCGTGCTGGTACACTGAAATGTAATTTTTTTCACTTTCATAAAGACGGTCATGTAAAATAATTTCTAAGAGTTTCGCTGGATTGCAGAGAATAGAAATTGGTATGTAGTTGCTTATAACATTTAACTGTTGCGACTTGTGTATAGGGCATACCTTGGCAATCTTCCACACTTCAGGAAAAGTTGATGTCTTGAGAATTCGGTTGAATATAATGTGACGCTGAAATCTCACAGCATGGAGTAGAAACAATAATTGGATAACAAAAAAGTCGAAAAAACCAAGGTCCAATGTGAAAACAGTGTTGATTGTTTTCTTTGATTCTTGGGAGACATTGTTCACCAGGAATTTGTCCCTCCCGGTCAGACAGTGAACGGAAATGTCTACATTGAAGTTTTGCGTGGTCTCAGAGCTCGTGTGGCCCGAGTTCGACCGGATTGTGCACACGGGGCAGGTGGATCGACACGGCAAATGAAGAGCCTCACAACGGAAGACTTCCCGCTATCGTATCAACAGTGGAAACGGCGTTGGCAGAAGTACATCTCCATCATATTGAAATACCTGAACAATTGTAAAATAAAACTATTCCACTTTCGTACGTATTTTCCGGACAAACCTCGTATAAAGATGCCGAAAAACGGAGTGTTCAATCACCAAAAAAAAACATAGATTCTCCAAACTTACAAAGTTTTTACGTCCTCGACTCTAGTAACCTTGTGTCACAATTTTTCCAAAATTCGACATACATACTAAACCATAAACATCATAATTTAGAAATTGTATCACGCCATAAAGCTACACATAAACCTTAAACCCTAGCTCCACCATACCTTGATGTGAGTCAGGAATTTGGCTTCAGTGAAAAAACATTTTCCACATTCTTTGCAATCATGAACCTTGTGTTTTTCAATGTCGTTCACTTCGTCAGCAGTTACTCGCCTATTTCTGAGACGATTTTTTGGGTTCACATGAGCATTAGCCCTATGCAGATTGTACAGACACGCATATCTGAATGACAAGCCACAACTCGGGCAAACCATGTCCATTTGCTTGTGGTTGTCGGCCATATGCTTTCCATATTCTTTGATGTTTCCCAGGAAAACGTAACAATACTCGCATCTAGATCAAAATTATTTTATTTATTAGTCCATACTAGAAGAATGATGTTATCGTTCCTATCTGCCAAGTTTCATTTGTAACAATTGGACAGGCAAATTGAAATTTTATAAAGTCTTACGAGAAAGGTTTTAGAACCCTTGCGTATGTGCGACGAAGAAGAATGCCCGTTTCCTGAACAAATCTGGTATGTAGATTCCATATAGAGGGTCTTAGATAGATAATCAAGGTAGATTCTTAGGGAGGCGTCTTTTCATCTAGAGCCATACAATACACGGTGATCCAAAAATATGATATCGCGTTACACATTAGATTTGTAAATGGAAACCACTATTTATACATTTTCCATGAAGTTTTGTCCCCTGTACCCTGTAATGTACGGCTATAGATGAAAAGACGTCCCTCTAGACGTGTCCGAGCCCACATGGGGGCGCGACCTTTTCGTTGGGCCACGCTGTATACCACCCTATAGAACTCAAATTATGTGTAGGACCCCAAATAATAATGGCATAACAATGTTTAACCTATTGCCTTTGGGAATAAAGAAATCTCACAATCTAATGACATTTACGAATCTCTTAAAAAACTATTTAATTGAAAACAGAAAAAAAAATCCGATCACAGACGCAATTAAGAAATTTAATAATTTACCTCATTGTATAAAAGATTCAAATAACTATAGAAGTTTTGTTAGAGAATTGAAAGATTGTAAAAATGTTAATGAATTTATTTGTTGAAATTATGAGCAACATTGCAGTGTACCTGTAGTTCATAGATATTAATTATTGTCTTGTTATTCTCGGGGCCAGTGTTTGCAAGCACTGATTAGGGAATTATTGTTAAAACTGGTTATACTTTTTGTATTATTGTGTTTAAATAAATTATTTCAAAAAAAAAATATAATGGAAGAATATTGTAATTTATGCCACTGATTCTTATTTTTTAATATTTGACTGTATGTTGTTACATACAGGTTTTTTACATTTAAGTTGAAAATGTATGACTCTGCCTATACAATGTTTTTGTCGAGAGGAATCAAATAAATAAATAAAGTATACATACTTGTACCGAAGGTCATAATGGCCGCGAACATGTTTGGTAGTTGCATCTTTTAGGCCGCAGATGACACATTTTCCTAAACTGATAGTGTCCAAAAAAGATGGTACATCAGAAGCTTTTCTAGCATTTTCAGAAATAACAATCTCTGGTACATTTGCGTGTTGAGTCTCGTCTGTTGTATCCATTGATGTGGGTTCTCTAAAAAATATATCATTTTATACATATTCTTGGTATCTGGTAGGACTACAATAATTAAAACCCATAAATTGAAATATTAACAGCTCAAAGCATCATTTTGTGATGGATAGTTATATAAATGATTCAAGATTTCTGCTGATCTCCGACCTATTAGCTTGCTGTCAGCTCTATCAAAAATTCTAGAAAAAATAGTTTATATGCAGTTGAATGAGTATTTACTCGAACGCAGCATTTTGCCATTAAATCAATCAGACTTTAGAAAGGGTCACAGTACCACTACCGCTTTGGCACGGGTTTGTGACGATGTACTAACAGCGGCGGATCGGCAAGAAGCAACTGCATTAGTCTTATTGGATTTCAGCAAGGCTTTTGACACCCTGAATCATAAGCTGTTAGTTTCTAAATGTAAATACATTGGGTGTGACGACTTGGTTCTGGAATGGATAGATTGCTATTTAAATGAACGACATCAACATGTCGTCATACAAAATAAACTTTCAGACAAAAGGCCGATTTGTTCCGGCGTGCCTCAGGGATCCATATTAGGTCCACTTTTATTCCTTATATACACCTATGACATTTCTAACACCCTTCAATATTGTTCTAGTCAATCATATGCTGATGATATGCAGGTTTTTCATAATTTCTGTCCGGACAACTACCATTTAGCTAACAACCTTATCAATCAAGATCTGCAATACTTATGCACATATGCTGCAAAACATAATTTACGTCTAAACGCATCGAAATCGACAGCTATACTTTTTTGCTCCAAGAAAAAACGTACTTTCCTCAAATCAAAGTTAAATTTATCACTAAATAATAGTATCCTAATATTTTCCCATTCTGCAAAAAATTTAGGTTTGTACTTGGATGAAGATTTCAGATTTCAGGAGCATGTTGGCTATGAGTGTAAGTCTAGTTATTTTAGACTCAGGCTTCTATATACAAGTAAAACTGTTTTAAATAGAAAAATTAAGAAAATGTTATGCGAGTCACTCATACTCGGTAAAATCGCTTACTGCAACATAGTTTATTACCGCTGTCTGGATGAAATCACAAAATACAGACTGCAAAAAATTCAAAACTCTTGTAGTCGTTACATAAACAATTTAAGAATGTACGATCATGTTTCTCACTCAATATCTTCAATGAATTGGTTGAAAATTTCTGATCTTTTCAAATACAACTTTGTTACATTTGTCGTAAAAATATTAAAAACTTCTGTTCCTATTTATCTTATGCAAAAGCTTGTTGGTATGAATTTAATTCACAATTTGAATACGCGCAACATTAATCTCCTGACAATGCCACAACATAGGACAGCCATTTTTCAACGGTCTTTTACGTATAATGCGGTGAAATTGATCAACTCTTTCGAACAATGTTTCATCAGCAACTTTTCTAAAAAAAATATGAGAACTACTTATTGAGCTCTTAGGTTATTGTCTTCTCTTTGAATGGTACGTATTATGTTTTTTGTTCTAATCGTACGCATTATGTCATATTTATTAATTCTTCTTTTACTATTATTCTTCTTTTTCCTTTTCTTTTTCAGTTTTTTATTTTATTTTTAAGGCAGTAAGTAGTAGCATTGACATGACATTTATGGTTAAGTATAAATGGCCATTGGCCAGACTTCCCCATTTGTAAGGATACATAATTATGTATGTGTTACAATAAAGTCCATTGAATTGAATTGAATTTCTAAAATCTTAAGTAGGTCTACCCATACCAGCCAAGGTCTGTTAATATGAACGTAATTATTCTAAAAGATTTATAGGTGCTATTTAAGCTCGAAATCGATGTTTACAACTAACGGACCGTCATATATTAATATCAAAAACACTGAAGCAAGTAAATTGCCTCCATACAGGTTGAATACGTTAAATCTGTGCTCCAAATTTTCCCAATTATAAATTGTGTCACTCTCAAGTGTTTCTCAAACTACCAAAATAATTGGCGAACTCGAGAAACGTTGAAAAAATGGAATTTTAGTTCAAACCTGAAACGGTTACGAATTTTAAAAAACAGACTATAACGTTGCTGATAATCCCTCTATAACATAATTTAAAAAAAGGTCAATTTTAGCCATACAAAAAATCCCTATATGCCAAATTTCGTTAAACACGAAGAATAAATGCTAAATTTATGGCCAAAATTTAAAAAAAAATTACAATAAGCTTACCACCCTGTATCTTGGTTGCCTTTGATTTTCGGACTAAAAAAATCTAACTTAATCTCAATATTTCTTTGAAAGGAATACGCTGTTAAATTATTTACCATTGCTTATGGGACATCCTGTATTGTTGACTGAGCGACAGAAAAACATCAAAAAACAATCTTGGGTTTTTTGCATTACAACTTCCTACTTTTTGTCGATTTTAAATACCTTCAGATAGTGATAAGCCTCGAAACACTAAGTTTGGGGACGTTTTGGAATGATTTGTTTTACGCCCATAACTCCGCGCCACTGGAACGACATATTTTAATACCACAAATTCAAGATTATGATTACAATGTCGGAAGTAAAATTTCGTATGTTGTTCAATTCAAATGAGGTTTTATATTTTTGCCACATACAGTGAGATTCTACAAGCTAATACGCAGATAACAAGGATGTTCAAGACCTAATAAGAAGTTTTTTTTTAATCTTCAAATCGCGCTAGAAACAATAAGGTCCATATATTTTTGACCAGATGTGTATATTTTTGTGTCCTTGCATTTTTTAATAATATATATATATATATATTAATATATTATGTTTTGTTTGTATGTGATTGTTGATTGTGCCCTGTTCTTTTGCTTGCTGTCAATCTATTTTCTACTATTATACATAATTCTGTTCTTAGCTCAGTTTGATGGTAGGTTTTCCCGTCTTTCTTTCTTGCACCCAATCAATAGTAATCAGTGATATTGATTACCAGATTTGTGTTGTTTTAATTGCAGTTCGAATGTCTAGTAAATCTTTTATTTAGAAGAAACAAGCTCTAATATGGTTGTGAAAGCATTAAGTTGCCTGAGCCCAATTTTTGGCTTGCTATTAAGACCTTGGGTCACTGGCAGTTTACCATGTTTAGGGATTGTAAGCAATTAACAAATATCAGTGCTACCAATCAGTTAAATTTACATTCTCTATATCTTCACAGGAATTTATTTAGTGACTATGTTTTAACTTTGAAATTTAAAGCTCTGAGAAATTCTTGTTTTTGTGGCTAACTACTAAAGATGTGAAGTTGTTCAAAAAATTTGCAATAACTGATTTTCTTGAATCTTAATATTTTTTTCTTATGCTTTTCAATAAAAGTTATCTTGTTTTATAGTTTAATCACAGTATATCTGACAAAGCTTTGAAAGCTCTGAATATTGGTCTAGTCTAGTAAATTTCAGAATATCAGTAAGCTTCATTATTTTCAAGGCTTTTGCACACAATTATAATTTTATCTGGATGGGGTCATGATTTAAAAGAATCCAAAACCTTGTTTGACCTCATTTCAAAACTTTCTGGTCATGATTTTTTAAGCAAAAATTAATAAACCAATTTTGTCCACTGACATGCAATAAAACGGTTTTTATTTTTTTTTCTTCTGGAAAACAAAGTGAGATATGAAAAAAATACTCGACGCAAAGAGGCTGTATTTTTAGATGCTTAATCAAACAACAAATAAGAAAATTACAAAAAAGTCAGTGGTGTACATTTTTTTGGCAATAATATTGGCTAAGGTGCCCCCCCGGGATGCCATTGGACCTAATAATTTTAGTCTATTTAAGGCTAAATTAGCTTCTTAATACAACAAATAATATTGCCAAATTACTACAGAAATAAGTAAATATTTTTCAATATATTGATAAAAAAGATTTGTTTTTAAATTTATTGTCCTATATTTTGAAAACTCTGCATTTCTGGACTTATATTTATATAAGCTTTTTTTTCTAGATTGCACCTGTTCTGTGTCAGCATCAGTGCTCTCCTATTGTGAAGATATGTTTTCTTTTTAAATTGTATGAAATTTCAGGCTGAAAAAACACGACATAACTTAAAAGCAGGCAACTAGATATTTGTGACATAACCTCAAAATAGAGCACTGACACAGAAAAGTAGAAAACTATGACAATCAAGGAGGCCATAAAGGCGTCCTACAATTGTAGAAACGACTGAACACCCTGTAGAAGGTTGTTGCTTCCAATCATGTCATACCTTGAGATTGCCTCATTTGCAGAATCTACTACACCCTCAGTTTTTTCTAACTGCTCATTCTTAGATGGGTCAGCTTCACATGAACTCTCGTCTTCAACCTTAACATCACATACATCTTTTTCATTAGTAGGACCATCTTCACTTTTATTGGCAATATCAACATCTGCTTCTTTAGATATACCTTTACTCATACACAAAGTAGATGTAATATCAGGTTTCGTATCTCCCATCTCACTCAAATGCTCAGTCAGCCATTTATATGAGTGCAGGAATTTTTGTTGAATTTGGAATGCTAATTTCAGATTCAGTAGGCATTTTATGCAGGCTTTTTGTGGAATCGTATCTTCTTTTGTAACCTATGTCAAAAAATGTTTACGTTAGTTTCTCCATTTCTTATGATATATTATTTGGTGAACATGGAGGAATGGAGCTTCAAAATAAAATAAATCAGGAAAATCAACATAAAGGCAAACATTGTAGCATTATACTAGAGAGATGGATTATTGTCTTACATACAAATTTGGGCATTCTAAGGATACAAGCACTGTAAATAGTGATAATCCAGGCAGACCAGTTTCCTAACATCTCCTGGTCGATTTGGGAACATATATTGCAATAATATGGCGAATTTAAAGTTAATAATCAGTAGGACAGCAAGGGATTGTATAGCTAAGACAACATATTTCTAGCTTATTTCTAAATTGCATTGCGATCTACTAGTATTCCAAATGTTTTGGATATAAAAATTTTACCTCAATCCCAGTCAAAGCTTCAAGCATCATACACTCATCAGTATTGGCTAAAGGACGTTGCACAGGCGACGGAGTTAGGCATAATCGACATAACTTATGTGGATAACTTTGAAGATTCATTTTATGAGTATTCTTCTTCTTTTTAAAAAAGTTCAAATTTTTGTTTTGAAAACCATAACCTTAAAATTCGTTGATACTTCTCAGCAACGATGCCAGATCTGGGTTTTTACGGTATAGTAAAAAAACAATTCTAAATATAAATCAAATCCAAGCGAATAACCAAAATTTCTGTGTTATGGCCGCGGTTCAAGATGACACACGGGTTGATGACGTCAGTTAAACGAATCGCTTGAACGCGTTGGTTTTAACCGCGGTTTTGTTGCAAGTTGTTAATTGCAGAGTTTTCAAGATTCAGGGTGATAAATTAAAAAAGAAAATTATTGATATCTTAATAAATATATACTCGATTCTGTTCAAATTTGGCAATATTATTTGTTGTATTCTGATTTAGCCGTAAATAGCTTAACATTATAAGGTCCACTGATGTCCAGTGGCAATAAATGCACGCCACTGCCTTTTTTCGTAACTTTAATATTTGATGTTTGATTAAGCATCTGAATATGCAAGTTCTCTGATTCATGTATTGGTTTTCGTATCTCACTTCTTTTCCGAGAAAAATAAAAACCGTTTTATTGCATGTCACTGGCCTAATAACTTTTGGTAAAAAAATCACAAGTGCCTTGGAAAAGAAAAAAAATCTGCATAGGGGTTTAGACATGGGCGCGCCAGTTCTAGAAAAGAATTATTCACGTGCAACATTTCTGTAAAAAGTTTCGATTTTTCTGATGGAAAATTACACTTTTGAGGAAATGGTAGACATGCATGTAATGTATGCGCCCACTTACAGTTATGCAGCGAGGCGCCTGTATGCAGAAGCGTTTCCCCCATCGGCTTTTTTCATATATGTAAGAGTAAAAAAAATTGTTTTAAAATTTATCACCCTGTATCTTGGAAACTCTGCATTTCCGGACCCGTGTTTATAGAAACTTTTTTTCATATATTTTAACAAGGAGTCTAAAATAGCTCCGTATATTTTTCGAACACCCTGTACAGACATCCTACAGGACTTTGACAAATAACTCCCTTTCTCTAGTTCGTACTTTTATGCAAGCCCTTATAAAGATACAACATAAATATAGTTCGATTAATAGCAAATCTTCAAAATTAATCCTTTTAAAAATATTGATTGTATGTAGGTATTTCTTTCTTGGTAAAAAACGTAAACAACTTTTTATACGAGTCATACGATATAAACACAACACAATTCGTTTTTTTTACATGATAGTGTGCTAGTTATTATGTATTCTCATTTACTATAGACGAAAGAAATTCGTGGGAGAAATTTTCCAACTCGATTTTTGAAATAATCATGACGTTACCGGGAGGTAACCCACTGCAAACTTTAAACAAACGATAAAAAATATTTTTTTCCGCCCCGGACACTTTGTCTTTAGGCTTTTGGGAACATTGCGAATAAGAAAAGTTTTTTCTCTCTAAAAGTGTCGTTTTCGAGAGATAAGCGATTAAATATCTGAAAAACCCAAAAAGAATTCTCTCATGCTACTCAAAATCTTCATTAAACTTCAAACCTTCTCGTACTAGTATTTTGGACTTGTGTATTTTGCAGCACTGCTATTTAATTGGTAATAACGCGCATTCGAATACGCATCAGCGCCTCGCGTTATTAACAATTAAGTAATGATACTTCAAGATATACTAAAACTTCTGGGAGTCTTATAGGGTAAGGTAAGAATTTAAGTTAGACACTTGACAACCTTAAAGATGATACTTTTAACCGCGTTTTAAAGCATTGAACAACGACATTCTTAAGGTTTCTCAGAACTTTAATCGCTTCTAACATGAAAACTTTCAAAAAAAATTGCTAATGACTTTTGACCACAACACAAGAAGTCAGTCTTAATATTATGAGCTCAAAGCTAACACAGAAGTAGATGAGGACGTAGATACCTAGCTTGCTCTAAAGACATACAGTTTTCCAGGAACATCGGAAGACACAATACCCAACGTGAAAATACACCACTCGCCTTTTATGAACAAGCACAACACATTTATCACAAAATTAGGCAGCAGCGGTGGCCGCAGTAGTAGACTCTTCGGTCTCCTGATCAGTCGCCGTACGCTGTGCGGGTTCGAATCCCGTCCCAGGAGAATTTTTTCTTTTGGCTATGGATGTTGTCATTGTCCGTAGGTGGTAGATGGTCTCTGACTGTCGAACGTGGAGGTACCACCCGGCGGATCTCGTAGGCGGAGCCAGAATGTGTGCATGTTGCATGCACACGTGTTCCCTCGCCAGAGTCCGTGTGGCGTTCCCCTTTCCCCTGTATCCCCCTATAGCCCCACGGTACCCAATGGGTGTTTAGGCCTTAGGCCTTCGTGGTAGTTGGAGTATACAAAAAAAATCACTCAAACCACCACCACGACACGACAACACTGCGGGGAATCGCCGACAAAGGCTTCTCTGGGCACAACTATACGAACGAGTCGTAACAGAAGCAGAGCGTTACACGGAGACCTCGACGAAGTAGCCTCCAGTCACCCCAACCGACAACTAACGTGCGCGTTAGTTCGCAGCGTATGGCGTCGGTACGGCCACGCCGCCGTTCTGCGTCATCATTGGTTGGAATTTAGCAACCCCCTCCCTCCAGTACCCAATCTTTGTTGGAGCAGGGTTACCAACCCTACAGTTTTAACTGTGGATTTAGTTTTCCACAAATCCTCCAAGTTTTCAGTTCGGGCCTCCAAATGTACAGCTTTTCGTTTAAGATGATCGCGCCATCTGTTTTGTTTACTTAACCGAGTGCTGCTCAAGCAAGGTGCCCTCTTCATCTTCAAGCACCGACAAGTTTTTGCAGTGTCAATGTCTACTTGCTGATCATGCATGCAAAAAGCAAATTCTTTTTGAGCGATTGTGGTTCTGGTTGGCCTTGAGGGAATATGGAAAAATTTGAATGGAAATTCTGTCACTTTTATATCACTCAAGGCCAATCAAAACCATAATCGCTCAAAAAGAATTTGCTTAAGCAATCCAAAACTGTCACTTCGACCTTGGTCCGCGATAGATACTAGAGAAAACTACTGAAATGGAACGCTGTAGATTTACATCGCTGCAGTTGCAATAGGTATATTGATATTCCAATATATCCCGCATATTTTTTAATCTAGCCCTTTTTTGATGTCTCGTCTACCGTTTTCAGCATTCTGGATGTGGCAGCAGTGCTTTTTTAAAAACCGTCCGACATTTGTCCAGGACCCTAAGCTTTTACTGACTAATGTTGGCGAAAAACACTCTAGAAATCAATTAAGTCACTTTATTAAAAAATATTCTCTAACATTATATAATCTATGTAGATGATGCATCCTCATATGACTTTTAACGGCAAATATACTAAGTGACATATAAATCCGAACACCCAGTTTAAATGGTTTAATTTTAATAAAATATTGTATAAGTACTTAATGAAGCATAATAAGTAAATGATAAAAATTTCAAAATGATTGCACTGCTTTAAAGCCCTTTGACCTTTAATAATGTGTGGATGCACCCTGATGTGCTACGCATTCTCCAACGCGCCTAGGCATGCTTCTGATCAGGTGGTCAATGTTCTCCTGTGGTATCTCATTCCAGGCAACCATCAACTCCTCTCGAAGTGGTTCTAGAGTCTGAGGAGGACGTTGCAAATTGAGCAATCTCCTACCCATCATATCCCACACGTGCTTAATTGGGGATAAGTCGGGAGATCTTGGTGGCCATGGTAACAATGTGACATCATTATGTTGAAAGAAGTCTATTGTGACTCTTGCAACATGTGGTCGGGCATTATCTTGTTGAAAAGTTGGATCTGCCAGGGTGTCAAGATAGGATAAAAGATGGGGTTCTAGAACTTCGTGGATATAACGCTGCGCGTTCATGTTACCTCTGATGAAGATTAAAGGTGACCTGGAACCATAAGCTATAGCACCCCAAACGATAACTCCAACAGTGTGATGAACATGTCTTTCAACAAAAAACTGTGGATTCCTCCTTTCACCACGTCGCCTTCTAACCCTGGCACGACCATCGTGCATCCCTAAACAAAATCGAGACTCGTCACTAAAGACAATACTGTTCCATTCCTGATCCCAGAGTGACCGTTGTCTGCACCACTCAAGGCGATTACGTCGGTGTTCTCGAGTTAAAGGGAGGACCCAGTGTGGCCGGTATCAAAACAAGCCAAAACTTCTCATTCATCGGTAAACACTTCGCATGCCAATAGGTCTTCCGTGTTCTGCAAACCATTCATTTGCAATGGACCTGGTAGTGGAGAAACGGTCCCTTAAGGCCAATAATCTTAGGCGGCGATCTTCACGGTCTGTTGTTCTACGGCGGCGTCCAGTGCCCCTTGCTCTTTGCGTACGGCCTTCTCGAAGCCATGCCTGACAACACCTAACCACAGTGTCTACACTTCTTTGCACTCTAACTGCAATTGCCCGAAAAGAAAGTCCAGCTTCCCGAAGTCCCACTATACGGCCCCTATCAAACTCACTAAGTTGACGAAACCGTGCAGGTCTCCGTACTCTAGGCATCGTAACCGATCGTAAAGGATGTCAAGAAATAAAATCCGCCAACGTTGATTCTTTACTGCGGCTGAAATATTCATTTTTAGAGCGTTAGTGAATTAAACAAAAAGCAGTATAAAAACCGGAATGTCCAACTGATAAGGCTGAACATTTTTTCACTTGTTATTTACAGTAAGATAAATACATTCACCAACTTTTATTAAAATAAAACTATTTAAACTGGGTGTTCGGATTTATAAATCACTTAGTATATATTCACGAACTTTTTACCACAGACTTTACATTCTTCTGTTTCGATCTGGCAGCAGTGCTTTTTTAAAAACCGTCCGACCTTTGTGCAGGACCCTAAGCTTTTACTGACTAGTGTTGGCGAAAAACACTCTAGAAATCAATTAAATCACTTTATTAAAAATGATTCTCTAACATTATATAATCTATATAGATGATTAGAACAAAATAATTCCACATTACGTTAATTCCATTTTACAAACGACTTCACGGATCATGCATTCTCATATGACTTTTAACGGCAAATATATTCACGAACTTTTTACCACAGACTTTACATTCTTCTGTTTTCTCTTCTATGCAGTTATGCTTAGACTTACGGTGCCATCTGAAACAAATTCAATACGTGTAAATGATATGTTATTGATCAGTCAGGGCTCATCTATGTACGCGATTTATATTACTCGACAATGTCCGCGAGATTAAAAAATCTTAACGTTAGCTGAAGTCTCACAATAACATCCAGAGATGACATGACAACCCTTGCATTGTCGTCGCTTTGGTGTGAACGCTTGTATTTGAATACATGTGTCAAGTCGGGTTGCAGCGTTACCACCGAGAGTACAAGGACTGACAACAGACTCGTGACGTCACCACGAGTAGGCCGGTCGGCCGGCCGACAGCACGGCGTGCCGTACATCAGCGCTAGTGAATAATATATTATTATTGCAGCATATTTAATATACTCTACCTGATGTAAATAACGGATAATTCAGAAAAGTGTTTTTGATATATGAAGGCAACTTTTTGGAAAATATTAAAGTAGTTATTAACTATTTTCACCCTGATTTTCACTGATATTTCATCCAACATTACGTGCACAATAGAGTAATAAGGTGATGTTATAAAAGCTTGCTAGAAATAATAAATTCTTCAATGAATAACCCCATGTTAGTCACAACAGATCAACAAAATTTCACCGGAATATGTGAACAATTTACTATTATTATAGGCATAATGTAATGGTACTTGAAAATTATATAAAAAATGTAGTGCTTGTCGAACAGTTGTGTCCAGCACGAACCAACGAGGAGGTCTGAGGTAAGCTCTTGCCAGGAAAGGAATAAGGGAGATGAGGAGGAAAAAGTGTAGGACAAATGATAAGAAAAACAGATAAAATCAAAGTAAAATAAACAACAGAAAAAACATAACAAAGATTAATGAAAACTTAATAAAAACTCTTAGAACAAACAAAATACAGCACAAAATAATAACAAAAATTAGAAAACAGAAAACAAGTATCAAAAATAACAAGAATTAGAATAAAGAAAATTAAAGTACTAAATTCTGAATATGTACAAATAAACATTTATCTACAGCTATGTAAATGTTGATACCTCATGTGAATGTAGTCAATTTACGTTTCTGTTTTATTCGTCCCTTTTGGCACAATAATTTTTCAAAAATGTACTGGCTGTGCAAAGAACATTTAGTTTTATAACAATCTGGTGAATGGACTGTGCAACGCGAAAATAGTGTCATGATTATTATCACTCAGATTGTTAATTATCAACTGAGAAAGGGCGCGTCACTTATCAGTGATTTCTAAAAATGATTCCTCGTCACTTTCCAAAACTTTATTGAAAATTATATAACTTATCATGACAATATTAATAAACGGATCCTTTGGGAATTTTAAGCCACCTCTACTCAAATTCTGTATAATGTTGTGCTGTGTGTGTTAAATTTTCCTTACAATGATAGCAGTGATTTTTCTTTAATAAGGCATAACAACAGTAACCAGCTAAGTAGGTGATGACAGGGATTTCATCCTTTATACTATCGATATCAGACTGTAAATTTTCAATTTCCCGGAAAAAGTGGTAATCATTAAAATTGTGTGGAATTTCATCTATTTCTAAATCATCATTTTCACGGAATTTATTTATTTGTATATCACCATAGCGAGACTTCAATGACATCACGCTTTGAGTTCGTAACTTTTTCTCAGATTCATATAAATGACGAATTGATATATTATATTGACCCCCTGCCAGTTGACGATACTTACCAAATCTATTTTCCTCTGAGTCAGTTTGAAATTTACCTAACAATATATAATTACTGTGCAGTTGAGATTTACAGTACCTTACTAATTCCAATAATCCATATACTGTATGATGTAGTGCAGTGTAAGTCTGACTAGTTAGTCTTTTTGAAAATTTTGCTGGATCATTCCACTCTTCTAGCCAATCTAGCATTTTTTGCAAGAATGTCGGCTGACTGTCATCAGCTTGTCCATCACTGTTGGAGCAAACAATAGGCTCTGCATAAAGGTCATTTAACCGCTTTCCTTTCAATGGACTTTTTACATTGACAATTCTCCACCACTTCCATATAATATCAATGAATATCAAAAATTACAGAGTGAGTTCTAACTTAAACAAAGTAACTTTATCCTGAACAATTTTATGCCACCCATATGTACATTGCCATGAACTGAAAACTGTGAGAAAGTCTGAATAATTTTGAAAACTTGTTGATTTTTGATAGGAGGAATAATCATCAATGCTACTTTGCAGTGCTTTAACTATATAGTTGTTCTTGTTCCTTGTCCCTCAATTTCTCATCTTGGCTTCTTCTGCTTGATATGTTGTTTGAAAGGTATTTTGGATAATTTGCAAAGATACTTGGAATTACATCTGCCTTTAATTTTGGATACTTAAGGGGTACAGTAATGGTCCTACCTGTCTTTTCGTCATGGAAGGTGGATTCCCAAGTGATGCTGTCCTCAGCAAAGTGCAAATTGCATACTCGGGTGTTTTTTGTAACCAATAAATCAATACGAGGGATTGCATTGAGCCATCTTTTACGACAGTTTTCATTCAATGGAAACGAAAATACGTGTACCTTCGGACCCTTCCCGTAATTACCGGCACAATTAGGAACGCAGCACTTGTAAGGCATTTTGAAGACTTACTTAAACAATCGCGAGACACAAATATAAGTTTAAAACATCAATAATTTTCAGTTTACATAGCATAAAAAGATACATAATAGAGGCTCAGAATGAGAGGTTAGTTGGCTGTTGGACAGCTGTTGGATGTTAGCAGTGTTACCAAGGTTGCCACATATTCCAGTTTTGAATGGAATATTAGACTTTACAAGTGACAGATAGAACGTAATATCGAAAATGTATCCTTGACATACTGAGGCAGACCAGAAAGAATAATCACATGATCACTGAAGCTGCGCAGGCCCCGAGTACATCTTGCAAATTCGCCCTCACAGAGGTAGAACCAATTAGTAGAGATTTCGATACTCTTATATCAAATCTAGATATGACAACACCGCAGAGAAATGGTGGCGCGGTGCTCTTGCCAGCCAGGTATCGTGAAACTCCATAAGAACATGCATAGGCCTACTTTGCGTGACGTCACAGGCTTTTCAGAGCCCAGTTGTTTGGCCTTGTACTCTCGGAGGTAACGGTTGCAGTCAGATTACGCTTACTAGTTGCTCTCAGTCAGAACAGTCCCTTATACATTAGGATACAGTGAAAGATAGGAAAAACAGTTTACCTTAACGAAACATTCTGCCTGAACCCTTCTCCACATATCTCGCATTTATACGGACTTTCGTTCGTATGCTGCCTCTCGTGGGTTCTCAGTGAATGTCTGCTGCTTAAAGATTTGTCGCAGAACCTACAGACAAACTTGCGTTCTTTCAAATGCAAAATTTTGACGTGGCTATTCAGTTTGTGCCTCGTGAAATACTTTTTCCCACAAATGTCGCACACGTGATTTCTTTCGCCTGGAAAGAGAAACACTATTAATCTATCGATTCTATTACCGTATTTTATTTCCATTCCAACATGTTTCGAATTTTACTGCAGTTATGTAAGAATTTTACACCGATAAATTTGTATTATACAGGGTGTAAACGTTATGGTAGTCATTATTGAAATGGGTAATAGGGCAGGGTTAAAAAGTTTATATGGCCCATGGTCCAAAAGTCAATAGATTTTTGTCTAAATGGCTTTATAGTTTACAACTTTAAGTGCTTTATATCGACCACAATCTTAATAATTTTTATAATCTAATCTAAAACGTTTTTAAATGGGTTATTAACAAATAAATGGCATTAAGTTTTTCTAAGTTAAGCCAAAATTTGTAGTCAGTAAGTAACTCTCATTAAATTTAATATTTAAAACACACATGACAACAACGCGTCGGTCATCATCACTCTTATCGAACCGGCAATCGATCGCACAGTAACAGTGCTTAATTATCGGGCATCGGGCGTGTTGTTTACAATGTTCTCGAATCGAGAGTTCGCCGACATGTTGTCAGTTTACGATGAAGCTCGTTATTGCGACAGATTTCGCCAACGGGTACACCCAGACAGAAGGACATATGTGTCAGTGTACCAAAGACTTCGAGATACAGGAAGTGTTCAGCCCGTGAAAGACAGGTTACTGTAGAGCAGGAGGAACAAATTTTAAATATCGTGGAAATCAATGCAGATATCAGCACTCGGGAATTAGGCCGCCGCGTAGGACTATCGCATACCATAGTCCATAGAATCCTACGGGAAAATTTGCTTTATCCCTACCATGTACAACGAGTGCAGGCCTTGTTACCAGATACTATCCTCGCAGACTAACATTCTGTCAGTGGTTTTTGCACAAAAACATTGAAAACCCGGATTTTTTTAAAAACATTCTAGTGATGAACGAATGTACTTTTACGTGAGACGGGATATTAAATTTCCATAATACTCACACGTGGGCGCAAGAAAATCCTCATACCATTCGTGAAGGTCATTTCCAAGAACGTTTTAAAATAAATATTTTTGCGGGTATTCTTGACGATCAGGTAATTGGCCCTTTCGAGTTACCCCCAAAGTTGTCAGGAGAAGGATACCTTAGCTTTCTAGCCAATAACCTACCAGATCTTTTGGAACAGACCTTAGACAACATGCCATCACTACGGAGACAGAATTTGTGGTTTGTTCATGACAGGGCACCACCACACATTTTTAGAGGCGTCATTCAGTATTTGAATGAACATTATCCAAATCGCTGGATCGGTCGAAATGCTCCTGATCCTCGAAAATGGCCAGCAAGATCTCCTGACCTCAATCCGATGGATTTCTGGTATTGGGGAGAACTTAAAGGGATGGTTTATGGGGCTGGTCCAATAACAACTGAAGCACAACTTCGCGAAAAAAAAATTTAATGCGGTTGAAATAATAAATGGACAACTTCGAGGACCTAGAGTAAGAAACAACTGGGTTCGTCGTAATGAAAAGCTTGTGTGGAAAGTGGAGGACTACATTTTGAACACCTTCTTTAAATATAAAAAAAGTGCAGTGTGGGTTTTAAAAAGAAAAACAATGTATGTACTTATCAAAATTGTGTTCCCTATTTATAAGTGGATTTTTTTAATAAACACACCAGGTGAAGCGCTGAGACAGTTAGTGGTAAGTCCGTTTTTTTAATTATTTGCATTTTACGAGTACATTATCAAATAATGAAATAATACCTAAGAGCCAAAAATAACAAACTCCATCTTTATTTACACTGCGTTCCGTCGTAATTTGCGTCTGGCATTGCGGCGTTGTCAGATTTTATTTTACTTTAAGGTCGCTATTCTCTAAAAAAATGCCGTTTTGACCCCCATGTTATATGAAACTTTTTGCTCCTTTTAACTCCCTCTATCACCCATTTAAATAACGACTATCATAACGTTTACACCCTGTATATTTAGAGACATAACCAATTAAATGAGTCGGCTCGTCTTGAGGAAAATAGTGACATAAGGACTATACAAACTAATAACGAGGACTCAGATCGGAAAAAGCTGCCTCAACTTTGACAACTTTCCTGACACTGTAATATCAAGTCTATCAAAGCAAATGAGGCGTCCTCAAAATGAGGAGGCCTTAGCAGACTCACCTGTATGTTCCTTTTTAGTGTGCATCACCAGATCATACTTCTTCCTAAACACCTTGTCGCAATGTTCGCAGGGCAGCGACCTTTGCGAATGCGTATAGTAAATGTGCGTCCTAAGGCTGCCTTTATTCTTGCACACGCTGCCACAAATCTCGCACACCAACTGGGGCATACCTGGGCCATGCAGAGCATAGTGCCTGCTGTAATTGTAACGAGTGATTTCTCGCTTGCAAATTGGGCATGTTATTTTATCGTGTACCTAAAAGTTAATCATGTGTTTATAATGTATAAATACAATGGAGTATATACAGGATGTTCCCACTTTATCCCACACGAGAATAAATGCAATATTCAACAACAAAGCTGTCTCATAATCAGTTACAAGTAAAGATAGTAAGTTATTCAATTCTTTAGATTGGCACCTTAGTCCTGCCAAATGTAAGGAGAATAAACTTTATCTAGTGCTGAAAGTTTGACATGAAAAATATGGTCACCTTTTATCTGGATTTGTAATGAAAATTAAATGATATTGGTTGATTATGGCGGAGAATTACTGATGCTTTGAATTGCGCTTTTTTACAATGTACCAATTTTCAACACGTTCTTTTCCAATACACGAATGAAAAAGTGAGGATAAACTGCATTATCCTTGAAAATGGATGTAAATAATCTATTAAAACTACACTACTGAAAATAAATAAGGGGACAAGAAAAATATACAAATTTTTCGGTGACCTTTGGCAGGTTTCATTTCTGAGAAAAAATATCATATGGAGACTCTGGAAAAAGCATCTTGAAGCTCTAAGATTCTAGTTTCCAGTGTTTTTAGGCGAAACATTTTAAGAGCAAGGGTTCTCTCATACAAGTCTAACGGATGGTGCAAGAAAAATATTTTGACTTTTTAGTCGACAGACTTGACATTGTTTTCTTTTAGGTCGTCATATGGATCGGATATTCAATATTCCGTTTTTGAAATCTCGATACAATCATTTGGCGAGGAGAAATCCAATTTTGAATGAAAAAGGATTCTGTTGTCATAGACCACTGATATCTTGGTAACCAGTGATCGCACAGAGAATTTAAGGGTACTTACAAAACCTGGAATGAACCTCCAATAAAATTTGATTGCAATCTTTGAGAATTTTTTTTATTTACTTAGGATTTTAAGAAAGCAAAAAATCACTTTTTTCCTTGTTTTGGTAAATCTACCGCATTTTTTGATTTGCTAACAAGAAGGCTAATCTTTTTTTTATACCTCAATGTACCTCTAATAACCGTTGTGCGGTTTCTCCGATTCGATTGATGAAAATTTGAAAGAAATCAAAGGAGTTAAATTCTGTATAGCAAAACATCATCTAATCTGGTTGGAAATGGAAAAATCAGTTGTTTTTATTTTATTGTTACTATTGGATATTAGTAAAATCTTCAATTTTAGAAAAAGCAAATTGAAAAATTTCAACATTGATTCAGTTTTCAGAAATACCCTTACATTCTCAGTATGATCTGTGGTTACAGAGATATCAGTGGTCAGTGACAAAGAGCTCCTTTTAAAAACATAATTTGAAAGCCGAATAAACGAGCCATATATGATGGCCTAACAAAAAATTCTTTTCAAGCCTGTGGACTAAAAAGAAGGCAAACATTTTGCAAAAAAATGTTTTGCGCTATCTGTAAAAACTGCATGAGAACTCTTGCTCCTAAAATGTTTCGGTTAGGAAGCCTAAAAACCAGAATCTTGAAGCTTCAAAATGCTTTTTTTAAAGTCTAGACACGATCATTTTGCACCGAAATAGAGCATCTCAAAAATCACCAAGAAATGTGGATGTTTTTCATGCTCCCTTAATATTTTCGAGAAGTATATTGTAAACTGCAATTTTGTCTATGAAGCAGGGTTAGATATCTAATAGGAAGTGACTTTTTAATGAATGGTGCATACGCTTTCTCCCGGGTTTTTCACATTTGTTTGTTCTGACAAAAACCACATTGTCAGTCTAGATTATTTATGACTTTGATTTACCTTAATATGGCGTAAATACTGTTGTTCATCAAAGAAACTTCTTCCACATTCAGCACAATCATGGAGTTCCCCTCTGAGCTCTCCACCTGCTGGCTCAGTTTCCATACTTGATCTACAATGCACCCACTGAATTGCAGAAGAATTGCTTTTCCGAGATGGTCTTCTTGAAACCTTACTAATACTTCTCACTTGTGACATTTGACTTTTCAATTTTACTTTTTTTTGATGGGCCAATGATATGTGAATCTTGTACAATGTCTCATATTTAAAACATAAGTCACAATGTGGACACGTTTGATTCTGTGTTCCATGTTTTTTAGTCATATGTAGACTATATTCTTGTATATTTTTGAAACTGGTGTCACATGTTTCACATTTATGGATCGATTCAAAGTGTGACTGAGCATGTTCAACTGTGGAGTTGTCTTTTCCACATATTGGACATTTTCCTAGATTGAAATCGGCAAATAATGATTTTTCTTCTACCACATCCTTTTCTGTTTTTAAAACTAAAATCTCTGCAGTACTATCTGTGTCATTTGTAGACCTAAAAATGTTTGATATGATGTTTATTAGGCAAGGTCACAGTGGAACAGTTTTATCATCATTCCTTTCAAAGTTGCAATTTTTTGAGCACATGGTAGACATCATCCCCACTGTTAGCGAAACAAGACAGACTTTCGTTCTCAGTTGGAGACTTACTTCCCTTCTTAAAACTCTAATTAAGGAAGTCACATGGGGGTTCAAAAGGAAAGATTGGCAAATCCTTTTTGTAAATTAGTCTGCAACAACAATTTTACATTGAGTTTTGTCACAAGAACACATATAGCTGAAGAGCACCATCGCAGATAAATGTTGTTCTTACCCATTTACACTGTGGCTATCATACCATACAAGTGCTTGGTGCCCGACGAGTGTGAACCCATGATCAGTATTGACTAGCAGTTATGAGTTAATGTGTACAGAATTACCATTTAACAGTAACCATGAATAAAAAAACATGCTTTTTGCATATGAAATTACCTCTTATCAGAATGTTCTTCCTTAATTCTACTTCCCGATATCTCAGTATTACTATTTGCAGAATCTAGGATTACTTCTCCATCAAGACTCTCTTGTTTTATGGTAATTATCTCACAACTATTACTGCCTACTACCTCAGCATCTATATTTTCAATAAACCAGTTGTTAGACTTTATGATCCTCTGTTGGATTTGGAATGCTAATTTGAGATTGACCAAGCATTTTATACAGGCCTTATTTAGTTGGGCATTTCTGGACAGCTGCAATGGAAAACATGCTTTGTAACACAAGATACAGCAGTTAATAGAAGACATACCTCTATAGAAGCTATCTCTTCTAACATTTTAGATTCATCACTACTTATCAAGCGTTGCACTGGAGAGGGTGTAAGGCATAGGCGACACAAACTCTTTTGTTTATCCATATTCAATCTGTAATATAATCATCAATATAAATATTGAATTGTTTGAAAATAATTATTTTAGATCTGAATTTTTAATTTTTGTTTCCTAATCCTAACCAAACTTTTTTGTTTTGACATTTATGTCATAAAACTCATGGAAGAAACCGGGGCAGATGATGCTGACATGTTTAGTTGATCAATCGCGTTGCCATCTTGCAGGTTACGAGCAACTAGGCAATGAAACTAAACCTGTAATTAATGCATTAGTTTCCAACTACTTTTTGAAAAACGCCCTTTCGCGACCTATCCTTCCTCGGCATACCAGCCAGTTATCAGTCACCCTTAATGACTACATACAGCTCTTGCTGATAATCCTGCTGCTCTTCTTCCAGTTGCAGATACTCATTCTTCCCAGGAGTAGTGATCAGCTCATTTTCTACTAGCAAATATTTAGTTTCAGCTGTTTCACTCTTTTCACTTAGACTGTGAATTGGAGAAGGTTCAGAGTCAACTTTGGTCTGCAAGAATGTATAAAAGTAGAATGATTCAGAATGAAATCCGGCAATGAACCAACCATATATGATTCTCTGGGTGGAGAAATCTCGACATAGAACAATGTCGGCACTGCATTTTGTTTCAATTTCATATGGTTGTCCTGCCGATGTAGTTCAAACTGAGAGTATTCAAAATGTGTCTGGAAAAAACATTGTGGCCCGAGTAAAGACAACATGGCCACGCAAGACAACTATTGAATTATACTCTACTAGACTCTAGATGACTATCCCTAGCAAAATAGCAGAGGTAGCAAAATCCTCCGACGGGCTGACAACACCGCAATCCAGATGACAAGGTCAACTGTCAAGACGCATGTCTAACCCGGGGTGCCGTGGAAGTCATCAAGAATGTCAGAGGCATTTTCCAATTTTCATTTACCTTGTTTTAATTGTTGTACAAAAATTTTGCTAAGGATAGTCTAGTAGAGCTATATTGCAATAGTTGCCTTGCGTGGCCATGTTATCTTTACTCGGCCAAAATTGCATAAATTCTAGATAGCTGCAAGCTAAATGAGCTTTGTTCTTACATTGCAAATGCGAGAACTTTCTGTAGGATCCCAGTTTTCTCGGCCCACGTTATTTACCCATTTTTCGCGCCGAGTTTTGTCACTTGGAAACCTGAAAAAGCGAAAGCCTCGACGTCGTGTACTATCACAATTAGGAACAGCGCAACTTGGCATTTTGGTTATTTTTCTCTCACTGCTGAAGCTGTGTTGCTCGTACGTCTTAAAAAAAGCTTTTTTAAATCACCAAATACAACGGCACATTCAAAACAAACACCTAAACACAAAACAATGACACACAGGAGAACCTCACGATGTATAATGTTGGACCAGCGAAAGATTGCAAGCCGAAAGAATGCGGACAAAAAATTGCGAAGTTGTCAGATGTTCTACATAAAATGCGGTCCATACATATTAACATATTTAAGATATAGAATTGTTCCGCTGAATTTGGCAATGTAGCTGGAAAACCCAGGCCGCAGGTAAACATCCGGTCGCTGATTGGTCCAAAACTCTTATCTTATCTGAAACTAGAATAACGTGCCGATGGCACGGTCATTTATAAACCTACTCCCATAGGCGTAGGCAGTTGGCAAATACTTTGAAAATATAATTTACTGTTTAGTGGTGATAATGGAATTCAAGCATGGGAAAGTTATTCACAGCCAGGCAAGGGAAATAATAGCAAACGTGATACGTGCTTGCGATGCAGAAGCGGCTAACAATACTTTCGTTTATCCACTGGTAGCTAGAAATGCAAGGGCGGCATATTATACGGGTGTTAGTGAACGAACTATAAGTAAAATTAGAAAAGAAGATAAAGACAGGCAAAATGCAACCTCCACACAGCCTTTAGCTTCTCCCGGAAAAAAGAGATCACGCCCTTCTGTGATCCAAAAAATTGATGGAGTCGATTTTTCCATTATTCGGAGAATGATAGAAAAATTTTACTGTGATTTTAAAGTGGTACCTACTTGTAGTAAACTTCTAATCAAACTGAAGGAAGAAATGGAATTTCCATTTGGTAAAGAATCGTTGAGGCTGCTTTTAAAAGCAAAAGGATTTTACTGGCGTAAATGCCACAACAAAAGGAAATTACTAATGGAAAGACCCAGTATTTTACATTGGCGATACAAGTATCTTAGGTCTATTAAAAAGTTCCGGGAAGAAGGAAGGCATATTATTTATTTGGACGAAACTTGGGTTGATAATGACCTCACTTTCAAGAAATGCTGGCAAAGCGAAGAAATTATGGGTGTCCTGAGCAATATAAGTTCTACAGGTAATAAAGTTTCTTTCACCTCGATTTTGCTTATTATACATTTTTCTCAATTTTGGAATATTCTTAATAAGTGCTCATTTAATTTGTCTAATTGAATACATAATCCCTTGCAAGTATTTTTTTCTCAAAAATATGTTTTTTATACATAGTGATTCAAAAAGGTGTTGGCAAACTTAAAATAACACTAAAATGAGGCTATTTATTCATTTCCAGGACGACTTATAATTGTTCATGCGGGTTCGCAAGATGGTTTTGTTCCTGGAGCCTGTCTCATTTTCAAGGCTGGCTGTGCCACTGGTGATTATCACGGTCAAATGAACCAAGAAAATTTCACGAAGTGGCTTACTGAAAAACTATTTCCTAACATTCCTCCTAATAGTATTATAATAATGGATAATGCACCTTACCATTCAGCTTTGGAAGACAAGCCTCCAACTAGATCTTCTCTAAAAAGAGACATCATCACGTGGTTGAGCAAAAAAGGTATAGAGCATGATCCTAATGCTAAAAAAATGGAGCTTTATGAAATAGCTTGTCTACATAGGCCACCATCTGATGAGAAAAATTATAAGATAGATAATTTAATAAGAAGTTTCGGACACACCCCACTTCGAACGCCACCCTATATGTGTCAGTTTAATCCCATAGAGATGATTTGGGCACAAGTAAAATTTTTCATTAGAAGCCATAATACAAGCGGCGAATTTACTATAAAAAAACTAGATGAAATTTCTAATAAGGCCATCGCTTCAGTAAGTGCCAGTGACTGGCAAAAGGTTATTGGACATGTTATAAAAATTGAAGATGAATATTGGGAAAAAGACAGTCTCATTCAAGAAATACAGGAAGAAATAATAATCAACATAGGAGGTGAAAGTGATAGCAATGACAGTTCCTCAGACAGTGATCATGACTCTAATCAGGATTGAAACTATACTAGATTGGCTACCTTTTAGAATTTTTAGATATTCATTTATTATACTATTGGTTTGTGGCTTTTAGTATCTCAGTAGAAAGTCTAATTCTATGTGTTGTTTATGGGTTATTTCATCAAGAAATTACTTTTTGTTTTCCTATATTTTTCTATTCAGTCAGATATTTTTGACTTGTTTTTGTTTTGCTGTTCAATCATAATGCGTACATAGGAATATTACTTGTTGCCTAAAAAATATATTTATTTTGTTCTCAATATTCAGTGTTTGTGTATATTTATTTCTTATAATGTATGTTTGGTATCACGTCATTATGAATCGCAAAAAAATATTAATACTACCAGTTGTAATAAAATATAAATTCAATTAATAATTCAAGTCTCTCCGATCTCCGCCTATGACTCCATATAAAATCGTCTAATGGTAAGGTTTTTTCATCGCATTTCCCCCTTTCGTCCCTAGCAATCTTTGGCTGGTCGATCAATAGACGGTACGGTACATAAGTGACGGTGCACAACGGTGCTCGCACACCTGTGAAGCAATGTTGTCAAAAGTATTTTTACTCTAACGTCTGGTAAAGTTGCGTGTAAAAGTTTTTTATTCTTTTTTTACGGTTCACCCAAGCTCAACTTCCAATAATTTCGGCCGAGTAAAGATAACATGGCCACGCAAGACAACTATTGAAATATACTGGATTAGACTCTAGAAGACAATCCGTAGCAAAATTTTTCTCGAAATCGTTGCACACCGCTTAAAAAATGAAAATGAAGATTAGAAAACTACCGCTTTGAGGTACTAAATTACTCCGTCGTAACCCCGGGATAGACATACGATCTTGTCATTCTTGTCTCCTAGATTGCGGCATTGCCAGCTCATCGGGCAATTATGCTACCTCTAAATTGTTAGAATGATGTTATATTAAAAAAAGAAGTTTGGATAAAATATTGAGGAATACCATTGGAGATATATAAAATTTGAGCCGTAGCAATGTTTGCCAAAAACCTAAAAATAGCTGTTATTTACATTTTGCGTCGCCGGCGTCTATGCGACGGAACGTTAAAGTCTCTGAACACTTTTAAAAATACCTAGTTTTATAGGATAAAATACTTTTTGAACCCGGGACTTCTTCCAACAATTAGAAAAAATAAGTTTTTATCATATAAATATATTTATTAATTATTTGATCTAAAATTACATGATCATTAATAGGAGAAGTACGATTTTCAATTTCTCTGCTCTTTATTAGGGGAATATGGTTTCTAGTGACTGCATTCGCTCTTGGGGGAGGAAAACCCCTAGAAAACCTCAACCGTCACTGCTAAGTTTAATTGTATCAGGTAAAGAAAAATTAAGTCGTTCCACAAGTCTGGCTTCATTTGTACAATCGAAAATCGCCAGCATGCCACAGTTATTATTAACCTAAAAAAAATACCATTGAAGTAACGGTTTATACGAGGGTCATTTCAATAACGTAAAACGCTCTAATAGTTCGATATAAATGGTTTGAATGTAGCGAATCTAAAAAATCGCACTATTTCGATACTGTCACAGCAATAAGTTCACATAATGTGACTGCGCTATGAAGACCTGAACCTCCCCCCGAGCCCCGCAGGTGAAACCAGCGCAATGCAGCAGAGCGGTACTCGGGAACATATTCTTCGGAAGAAAAGGATTAAGTTTTGTAGCACATTTTTTAAATAAGGAAGTAAAGTTTGAAAGTGAAATGAAAATATGTATTTAGGTGAATGATCTTGAAGTGCGTGTTTCTAGAAGAAGGCTCCTCAACATAGCAAATTATGTAAGTAACTTTACATCTTTGACATCGCTACCATCATTTACATATGTATTTTGTGGTCAATAGTATGAAAACTAATGCTTAGATAATTAATTACAACAGCAATCAACTTTGCTTCAACAACTTGATTCAGTCATCTCTCATCTCATCCAGACTTGCAAGAGAAAATGTTTGAAAATTTTCAAATCCGGTTCTTGGTTTGATAACCGTTTTATGACTATCGGCAAAAAAATGTAAACGAAGACCTTATCATTGTCGTCTACAATACAACGTTATTAAAATTCTCATTTATTTGAAAAAACATAGGTTGTCAACCCTAACACACAAGTGATGAGTATGCAAGGCTCAACTAGTTTCCCTCAGAAGAGTTGTAAGTAGACCTAATTTCCACTTTGGAGACACTTGATACCCACGTCACAGCACTAAAGCACCACTGAGACACAATCGAGAACCCCAACGTGAACACCACTACTGAAAATAAGTAGCTAAACGGAATACAGCTCTGCACAGAGCTTCGAACGCGTAGACATTCCGCTGCGGCGACGGTTGCCGAGAGACGGATGCGTGTGAGTGCTGTACCCCGCTGCATCGATACGGTACGGCCGGGTAGTACAGCCATGCCCCTTTCCAGCTCCCACTCCGCCCGTCCGCTCCCGTCAACGTAAACATCGAGTCGGTTCGTGATACTGTCAGATAAGAAAACGCAGACGCCGTATTCAAAAAGTATTTTATTCTATATCTCCATTGGTATTCCTCAACATTCTATCAAAATAGCAGAGGTAGCAAAATCGTCTGATGAGCTGGCAACGCCTCAATCAAGGTGGCAAGAATGGTAAGGTTATCAGTCAAGACGGATGTCTATCCCGGGGTACTGACTGCTACATTTAGAATGGATATTTTCCAACCTTGAATTGCATTTTTTAAGTGTTGTGCAACGATTACGGCAAAAATTCCGCTACGGATAGTCTTCTAGAGACTAGTAGAATACATTTCAGCAGTTGTCTTGCCTGGCCATGTTATCTTTACTCGGACCATAATTTCTTACTAGCAAGAGTAGGGTAGTTTCCTTGAATGATGAACTACTACTTCTTATTCTTTATGGCTTCGTAATTCCTGTTCTAGTTAAACTAAGTCAGACTTCTGGTTGTTTTGTGATCTATGTCATCTTTGTCAGCACAATTGTGCAAATGTCATTTCATTTGTTTTGTCAGTGTTGTATATGTTTTGTGTCAGTGGTGTAGGTTGATTTGTTAACCGGTTGTAATTGACTTTATTAAAACTCTGAAAACTATAGTAAATTACACACAAAGAACCTTTTCAACTGTTATTATGATACATTGCGTTTAACCCGTGCCTATAACACACCAGTATCGAACAGTTTCTGCAACCAGCAGCAACATGTCTGGAGGATTCAATTTTGGAGCAAAGTAAGTGCATGCACAAATCAACGACTATATCTAGAAGTATCAATTTGCAGGTCAACTAACACCCCCACGTTTGGGTCGTCAACGTTATCATTCGGCACAGCTACAACTCAGAACCTGCCTGGTTTTGGGATCCCAGCAGTACAACCCCAACCAAGCTTTGGAGCTGTCGCCCCTCAACCACAAGCCGCATTTGGAGCTGGCCTTGGGCAAATGAGTGCAAGCCAACCATCCACTGGCAGTTTCCAATTTGGTGGTGCTGCTGCTGCCCCTACTACAGCGGCTTCTGGTTTGTTTCCTGCACAATCTGGTGGATTGAATTTTAAACCAACAGGATTTGGAGCAGCTACCTCACAGCCCACAGGATTGTTTGGGTCAACTGCTCCTAGTGGAACTACATCTACTGGATTTGGTAATTTAATATAGAAATTAGAACATCTGGATAACTGTTATGATGATAACAATTATATAGTTTTTCCTGTTATGAGAGATAACATACCTTGACAGCCCCAAGGCACCGAATCTTACAATATACCATTGGTTATTAGTATTTTGAATTTCTGTGACCATCTGGTTACACTCCTTGATCAGTCTTACAGAGTCATCAAGTTTTTTGGGTACGATTAAGATGCTTCTTTAACATCGAAAAATGTTTAGAAAAGGCTCCTATCTCCTGATATATCTTAGTGTCAAAGTGACTTGGAACATTTTTTTAAATGTAATAGTGGGTCATGTTATTTTAAAGCTGCTCAAGGGTACTTCATAACCCTATAATATAAAATCAGTATTGTTTAAAATGGCAGACCAGCATGTTGTCAAAGCTATGTCAGATTTGTCCCTATCTCCTGGAAATCCCATTCATGCCCTTTCAAAACAAAACTGAGCTCTCAATCAGTGCTTCTATTCAGTCATAATTTGTCACATTTCAAATAGAATGTTTAAATTTTATTCTACATCTAAATAGATCCTTACAAATAAAAAGTTTGATATCACATACCATATATTTTGGGGACTAGTTGTTGAATAACAAGCAATTAAAAAATGCTTAAGTTGGATGGCCTACCGGTCCGTCATTTTGAAAAATATAAAATTTAAACTTTATGGTTATAAATTACTGAAAGATTACCTTCAAAATGAGTTATTGCATGGCACATCACCCCTATTCCATTTGAAAAAATGTTTCAAGATCGTGCCCTGCCAACACCTTGAAATTTGCACTTTTATGTTGAAATATAATATTCAACGATGAATTTCATTATCTCAAATTATCATTATACCAATTGAAAAAATAAGTAGCAAGAGACCTTTATCAAAATCATTGTAGAATTGATACAGAGAAATCCATACACCACTGACGTCGTAATATGTAGAGAGAGAACCCCAAGAAGTGTGAAATACATATGTTAGAAAGAGATACAAGCACCACATTGCTTAGAAATCTGAGTGATGAGGTCACGGACGCAGCTGCGGCCTTCCGCGTTGCTCTTTGTAAGGTACATATTACACACTTGTCTTTTATACTCATTACCTCATCAGTGATATTTGGATTTCTCCATATATGGGACGATCTTAGATTTGCAACAACCTTATTTCAGGTTTAGTAGCACCTGCAGCCTCAACCACATCAACTGGTCTGTCATTTGGAGCACCTGCATCATCTGCTCCATCCATTGGATTATCATTTGGAGCCCCAGCAGCTTCAACTACATCAACAGGTTTGTCCTTTGGGGCTCCTGCAGCATCTGCCCCATCTACTGGATTGTCTTTTGGAGCACCTGGAGCAACTACCACAGCAACTGGTCTAGCATTTGGAGCACCTGCAGCTTCAACTGCACCAACTGGGATATCCTTTGGAGCTCCTGCATCGTCAGCTACCTCTACTGGCCTGTCATTTGGAGCTCCTGCAGCATCAACAACAGCAACTGGTTTATCATTTGGAGCACCTGCAAGTACTTCTGTTGGATTGACATTGGGAACTCCTGCTAGCACTGCTTCAACTGGCACAGGCTTATCATTTAGCACTCCAGCATCAACAGGTTCTACAGGATTATCTTTTGGTATGGCTGATTGTTATAATAAACAAGATTTTATTTTATACTATATAATATTCAGGGTGTCCCAGAAGTCGACGTCAAGCCGAAACCGGGTGATAGGCAAAGTCATAACAGCTATCAGAAAAATATTTAAAAAAATTTTATGTATGTGTTTTGAAAATTATAGGTCTTTGAAAAAGATATACGTAGTCGTGCCATAAGTTCTGTCCCATGATAATCTCATGATAAAAATGAAACAAGATAAGATATATTTATATGAAAGATATTATTTATTCGACAACATTTTTAGAATTCATAATCAAACAGTTTTATTCAAAATGTCCCCCCTTGGCCTTCACACACTGCTTCAATCTCGCGGGCCACTCATCTATCACTGCACGCACAGCTTCCAAAGGAATAGCTGCCGCTGATCGGATCAAATCCGCTTTCAGGGACTCGATATTACGGTGGGCTTTGGAGCAGGCCAACTGCTCTAGCAGGTCCCACAACTTGTAGTCTAAAGGATTGAGGTCCGGACTCCCTGAGGGCCAATCTTCCGCAGCAATGAACTCTGGCACATTGCTTTCCAGCCAGCGCTGCGTACTCTTAGCCTTGTGAGCGGGGGCGGAATCCTGCTGGTAGACCCAGTGTTGGTTGGCAAACAATGTACCACTTAAAGGCTTGACGATAGGATCCAGTATGTCGCTCTGATAGTTTGCCGCTTTTGTTTTCACGCCCTGTTTACAGAAATGGAGCTGAGTGACCCCTTCGTAGGACACCCCCCACCAAACCATGACTGACGCAGGGTGGTGGCCTCTCTCAACTCTCGGAATGATCTCCGAAGCTTCCTGTGAACTCCTTGCATACACTTTGTCATTTTGTCGGTTGAATTTTTCTTCTATGGTGAAGATTTTCTCATCCGTGAACAAAATCTTTCGGAATCCCCCAGCTGCGTACCTCTCCAAGAGCTTCTTGGATCTTGTCGCCCTGATGTGTCGCAAGGTGGCCGTAAGTCGCTGGCCCGTACGTCTCCGGTAAGCCCCTAGCCCTAGGTCTTGTTTAATGACGCGACATCGTCCGGACAGGAATCTTCATTTCCCTGGATAGGATCTTCTGCTTCCGGAGTGGATTCCTTTGAATCCTGGCTTTTACGGCTTTGATGGCTGCTGGAGTCCTTACTTGACGAGGTCTTCCGCTTCTTGGCCTGTCATCAACAGAGGACGTCTCATTGTACCGCTGAATGGTCCTAGACACAAATTTACGCGATATTTGAAGGCCGCGTAAGAGTTCAAAAATCTGACTAGCACTGTGATTACACTTATGTAAAGCTATCACTGCAATACGGTTCTCTGCCTTGCCCCACTCCATCGTTATGCTTCGAGAGATCAATACAAACTGAGGTATATGTAATTACCCGAAAAGCGCTTAATCAACTGACACCACAATGTAAACAATCGGACAAGTATTAACAGGTCTACACTTGTTTGAAAACGAGGGACAGAACTTATGGCATGACTACGTAGAAATTTCACACCCTACGGCAGTCTGTCAACTCCTGTTACTACAAATATTAACTTTTTGTGGATTTTACTTTTACAATGTAATGATGAATAATGCATCTTCAAACTGGTGTCTCAACCTTACCGCCAACTTTTCTCGTTCAGGAAAAATTGCCATTTATTTCCCAACCAAGTATTCCAAAGTAAAGCTTTGTTCAACTTTAACTGGCTGTCCTGGAAAAAAATGTACTACGAGAGTTTGGCAAGTAACCTTGAAAGTTGGCGCATTTAATAATGATTCCAAAATGGTATAACACTTAGAAGATTACTCGTTAACTTATGCACAATTTTTATTTGAAAAAAAAACTAATGAAAATTTTTCAAATTTTCCTAATTAAACAGCGATTATGAAAACGCACAAGGACCCTTAAGGATAACTGTTTGCACAACAGTGGGCGTCAAAATGCTGCTGATGATGATTTACCTTGACAGCAAATGCTCAAACTGTTTTCCTTCAGCCGCAATACACGCTCGACATCTTCTTAAAAAAGATCGGGTTATTAAACGAGCGAATCCACGGTTATTAACAAACTCAGCTGCTTCCAATTGTCTTTGCCGGAGCTCAGCTACATTTTGAATCGGCTTGAAATACACTTTTTCTTTTACAGTTCCCCAGTAAAAAATCTAAAGGATTCAAATCAGGTGATCGGGCTGGCCACGGTATTGTACCAGACCGCCTTATCCATCTGCCTGGAAAGTTTTGATCGAGATACTCTCTCACTGAGAGTGCATAGTGCGCTAGGCAGCCATCATGCTGAACCCACATGTCCCTGTAAATACTCAGTGGCACGTCCACCAATAAATTTTGTACATGATTTTTCAAAAAATCCAAATAAACTTCAGCAGTCAAAGTCTCTGGGAACTCAAACGGACCGATTATTTTACCATTTAAAATTCCTGTCCAATGGTTTATCTTGAAGCGATATTGAGATTTATCTTCTCTCATCAAATGTGGGTTTGCTACGTGCCACTCGTGTAAGTTATGCAGGTTCATGTACCCATCTTTCTTAAATGTGGTCTCATCCGACCATAAAATTTTTTCAAAGAACTGTGGATCTTTCCTGTGTCTTTCTAACATTGTGCGACAAAAAGCAACTCGGGGCTCATAATCCCGGGGCAGGAGAGGTTGAACATGCAGTATGTGGTATGGATGAAGCACATCACTTACTTGCTATTGCACACTTTGATACCGATCAGTACTCCTTCGTTTACTGCGCATCTTTACATGTTCGTGCTTGTTGATTTCGTACTGTTACTAATTTTGGACTGTTTGATTGCTCTTCAAAACAACATTTGCTTTCCTTAGACTATCTTTGATAGTGTGATTGTGCAGTGCCGCTATGTCCGTGTACACCATACAAGAATATGCTAACATGCACCTCATTTATGGGGAATGCAGATGCAACGCTAGTGCTGCAGCGAGACTTTACTGTGAGAGGTACCCGAATGCAGCTCGTCATCCAGATCATCGAGTGTTCACAAATGTGCACCGCTTACTGTTCTCAGAGGGCCAACTACCAAACCAATCACATGGTGAGGGAAGATCTTTCCTTCCTTACGAAGACGTGGTGCTAGGAGCTGTCGAAGAAGACCCGAGTACTTCAGTGCGTGCAGTAGAACTAAAAACAGATGTGCCCAAAAGTACAGCCCATAGAATCTTGCAAAAAAACGTGCTCCATCCATACCACGTACAGCGTGTTCAAGTTCTTCTGCCCTGGGATTATGAGCCCCGAGTTGCTTTTTGTCGTACAATGTTAGAAAGACACAGGGAAGGTCCACGGTTCTTTGAAAAAATTTTATGGTCAGATGAGACCACATTTAAGAAAGATGGGTACATGAACCTGCATAACTTACACGAGTGGCACGTAGCAAACCCACATTTGATGAGAGAAGATAAAATTATTTTAAATATTGTTCTGATAGCTGTTATGACTTTGCCTATCACCCGGTTTCGGCTTGACGTCGACTTCTGGGACACCCTGTATATACTAAATGACATAGAAAATGCAACACTTACTAGGAGTGCTGTAATTTTGAGCATACTTTTACAAGTTTCTAGGTCTACTGATAAATGGGCAGTGATTAAAATTTTAACTCAAAATTTCGCAAAAAGCTGAGATGTAACACCTTAATGCGGTGTGTAATAATGATATGTTGAAACTCCCCTGTTTGCTTCACATTCCTTAAGTCGTCACGGCATTGATTGGATTAGGTGATTGATGTCTTCTTGGTGTATTGTATCCCAGGACATCTGAATTTGGTTTCATAGAGCCTCCATTGTTTGTGGAGGGTGCGGTGAATTTTGCAACCTTTGTCCCATCATGTCCCATGCAAGTTCGATGGGGGAAAGGTCTGGAGATCGATGAGGCCACTGAAGCAGATTTACTCCGGACGCTTCTAAAAAGTCCAAACTAACACGTGTGACATGAGGTCGTGCATAACAGGTTCCATGACTATATGTTTTAACCTACTTTCAAAAGCCTACATCTGTGGGGCACACTTAGTAAGTGTTTCCTATGAAGTGTGTTTTTATTTTCCAGGAACAACCCCCCAATCATCTGGCTTGTTTGGTAGCACAGCTCCCACTACTTCAGCTCCATCATTAGGATTATCATTTGGAAGTAGAACTAGCAGTGCTCTTCCTACTCTAGGCTTAGGGGCAGCTACCACAACCGCAGCAGCATCTGGGAGCCTCACACTAGGCCTGGGAGGCACTCCTACTTCCACATCAGCTGGCTCAACTGGTCTGTTTGGACTTGGAGGTACAGGAACCAGAATCGTTGATTAACATATTCCATTAGAAGATGCTCAATTCAATTGAAGGCTATGTCTGCTTGAAACTTACATGCTTAGAACTACACTCACTACAGTTCAAAAGTATTTGAATACCCACATATTTCCATACACAATGATGACAAAAAAAAACTACTCAGTGCGTATTTATTTTTCTTTATTTATTGAAAACATATAAAACTGACACTCAATTTTGGACGTAATCAAAACATTTTTAATGGATGGCATATTCGTTATCTTCGACCTCGAAAACTCGTAGATGAAGGTTCTTAGTGAAATATAACGAATCTTTCTAGTTTTGGCCATGTCCTATACCCGTTTTACATTCACACTTTCTTCACGGATTGATTCAGATTATTTTCTTCAAGGTCATTTTGCTTATGTTCTGAGATGTTTACATTAATGAACAAATTCATGAATAATCTGACACTACACAGTGCTGCCAACCACACAACGAATTATTACTAGAAATATTTTTAGTTTTTATATGTATTGTTTTGATTTTGGGCCGAATCTTACAAACAGAAACTGTGTTATTTGGTCGATTTTTGGATAGTTAGGCAGTCGTAAAATATTCTTATTTGACATTTCGCCAACACGAGTGGTTGGCATCTTCAGAATTAGTTCACAGGACCATCGGATGATGGCCGCGAAAACCTTTCGCATTTCAAACAAAAACTGTGTTGGTGAATACTATCAAAGTTCTATACTTGAAAAGTTGTTCAATATAATCGTGAGGAAAACAATATTGGTACCATGCAGTTCACGTCCAGCTTTGCAAAAACTGAAACAAGTGGTAGTTTTGTGAATCCTCGAAAAAGTAAATGAATTTATTTGACGAAAATGCTATTTTATTCATTGGGAATTTGGTAATGAATTCAATTCATGTAGAAATCCATGGATTTGTTTTCAATGTAAAACGGGTATTTTGAACTAGTGTACTTCGTCAGACGACAGTTTCCGCGTCGGGGACTGTTGAACCAGGTTTTGAGAGAAATTTTAGGAGTAATTACGTTTGAAATTGACGGGTGATCTTTCCTCGTACGACTGATGTTATGTTTAATACTAAACAATTTTCTTTATAAGGAATCTGGAGCTTGTTTTTATTACTTGTAAGGGAGATACTTCAATGCTACTTGGCATCAAATCTGTGACTATGGTAATAGTGTCTGAACATCCAAGTACAGCATTGGGAGAATATGTTAACAATGCTAGAATTTACGTGACTTCTAGACACTTGAAATGATGTATTTCTCTAGGTACTACTACAGCAGCTCCATCTGCAACAACTACACCTTCAGTAGGACTTGGTGGCGTAGCTTCAGCACAAACAAAAATAGTAACCACTCAAAAGGAGGTACCACCAAAAGAACAACCATTGCCTAATGAAATACTCCAAATTGTAGAGGAATTCAAAGATATGGTGAAGCATCAGAAAGCGTATAGTTCCGATATTGCCAGGTTAGGTTTTATTCATTTTGTGCATATATTTGCAAACTGAGTCATAATCTTGAAGCTATTTTGCTATTTTACTTAACACTGTTTTTTTTTCAGATGTTCTGTTAGAGAATTTAGGAAAGTTGAGCAAGAAATAGATCATTTAATGACCTTGCTCGGCGATGTGGAAAGTCAGTTAACGAAAAACAGACATTTGGCAGAAAAGCTGAAGTATGATACAGCAAAATGCTTGAAGAATGTTGAAATGGCTCAGAGAACGCAAGGTAATACTAGCAAAAGAATTTTTATGGTATTGAGTGGTATTGTTTCTAAAATAATTATTTCAGATACTCCTCCTGGATTACAGTATGAAAACACAGCCCCACTGAAGTTTTTCATGGAGTTAGCAGACCAGTTTGAAAGAGAAATGCAGGTCCTTAAGTACCAAATTGAAAGTGCAGACAATTACGTTAAAAACCATAGAAGCCCTGATGCTTTGACCCCACAAGGTTAGAACAAACACTAGGATTGATTTTAATTTATTATTAACACGGTTTTATTAACGTTTATTAACCTTTCAACCTAATTTATCGATTTCAAGAAGTCTGTTTAACTTGAAAATTTGCACAGGGGTCAAGAGCCGATGTCAATAGAATAATCTTGCGAGAAAAAATCGAATTTGGATTTTTTTTTTAATTTTGAAGTTTAGAAAAATTGGATTTGAAACTTTGAGAAATAATTGGAAAATTCTGAAATTTGGAGATTTAAAAAAAAAATGGAAATTTTGGAAAAACGTGAATTTCGAAATTTTAAAATAATTGAAAATTTTGAAAGGTTACGTAAACAGGAATGAAGTAAATTTAGATTTATTGTTACATACCAAAAATCGAAACTTTTGATCATAAGTACTTTTGTTGGCGTTTTGAGACTAAACAGTTAAAAAATAAGTTTTAGTTGAAAAACAAAAAAGAAACGGTTTCAGAGCAACTTTTTGAACCAAAAAGTAGAAAACAATTTTCAAGTATAGCTGAGTTCATGTTACTTCAATAGAAATATGTCTGATTATTTAGGAATAAGATCTATATAAAAAATAGGATATTAAGAAAATAATTATAGTAAAAAAACGTGAGGTGTAATTGAGTAGCAACTAAAAAATTATTTCAATATTTATATATTTGATAATATCCCATTTTTTTGTATGACTTCCAAAACACCGTACCTTGACGAACAAAAAGCGTCCTAGCGCTCAGCCGGTTTCGATGGATGGCCGAGTTCTGCCAAAAAGCCGAGGACTTGCTCTGGCACGAATGCATCTCGTCAATAGCGACGGCTGCTGGGAAAAAGCTAGGCTATTTGTTTAGGGCTAAGAAGTACTTTTCTCCAAATGACCCCCTCACTCTTTACGCGGCCCAGATAAGACCTAGCCTCGAGTATTGCTCACACGTTTGTGGTGCTGTGGCCCCGACTACATTATTTATGCTCGATGCTGTCCGACTGATCGATGACTCTTCTCTAACAGTCAGTCTCGGGACCCTTTCGCACCGGCGCACCGCCGGCAATCTCACTCTGTTCTACCGCTACACCAACTGGCTTTGCTCCTCAGAGCTCTCCTCTATGATGCTGCCGCGCAATGCGCCTGCCAGACAGACCCGCCTGACTTCGGCCTCCAATTCTCATCGTGTCGAACTTCGTACATCCAGAACTGGCCAATATGACCGCTCATGTGTTTCTAGGATGTCGAAATTGTGAAGAATCTACAAGAGGAGGCGCTTCCCTGTTTTACTAACCTTAAGCAGCTTAACAAAGTTGTTTTGGGATCCTCATATCAGTCGCGGGCAATAGCATTTAGGCTTATGCCTGCGCGGCTGCTCCGGTGTAAAAAAATCTTATTCCAAATTAATTAGCCATACTTGATTTTTGGACTTTCCATTGCAGTAACACAAAGTCTCCTGTACTCGAAAATTATTTTCTACCTTTCAGTTCGATTTGCTATTAAATCGTATTTTTTTATTAGTTTTTCTAAACTGTAATTTATCTCATTTCATGTTTCACTTTGTGCTCTAGTACACATTTTGTCCCGTTGATATTACAGACTTAGCCTTGGGGATGAGAAGACTTCATGAGACCTTCGTAGCGTTAGCAGGTCGGTTACAGTCTGTGCATGGTCAGGTTGAGTCTCAAAAAGAACACTATAGGACTTTGAGGAAGCAGCTGCTCAATGACACATCTGATCCATTTGAAAAAATCGCGCCAGAAGCTAATGTTGTTAAATCTCCCACTTACAATATACCAAAGGTAGATGAAGATAATCAATAATGATTTATCGATAAATAAAACTGATTCTTTTTAATAGGTTGCGACTGGACCTACACCCTTCAGTAATATGTCTTTGGACACAGGAAGATCTATCATAGCTCAGCAGAGCCAGTCAGCAGCGGGAAGTAGCTTTGGAACCAGTGGTCAGTCAGGTTAGCAAAAAACTATGCCACAAGAATGTATTTTTCCGATAAAAATAACAACAACCACCATTTTGAGCATTTTTATATCTAGGTTTACAACTAGGTTGATACATAAGTGATTTATTTGAGCGAATTGGTTATTTCTATGGGAATAATATATCACTATCTTACAATTTTGTTATTATAGTCATCATATTATACGAAAATACCCCTGGTTTGCGAAATAATTGTAAAGACTGGTTTTATTGATGCAAGTTGTTCAAGGGGGTATTCAAAACATGGAGGCATAAAATGGGCATACTAATTTTTGCGTGAAAACTTTTTATTCGACAACAAATAACGAGAAAAAAAGTGTTTTTTGGGATTCAATCGAAAAAGTTGGCAGGAACGAAAATCTCATCATATAAGATTTTTAGATATTTATTATTTATATTTTTGTGTAGTGATTGATCTAGATAGATTTTATTTGTGAAATACTTTTACGCTTTTCTTTGTATCAAGGTTTTTAAAGATAAAAATAGACTATTTATATTCTGAGACAGCAGACAAGAGACAAAGCCAGGTTGAAGTCGAGATGTTTCAGGTGAAAACAGTGTCTAACAGCTACTGAGCATCGCACTTTTAACGCAGAATAGCTCGCTGAGATGTTTTGCTATTGGGGCGGTTGCTATCGACACAACGTTTGCATAGTGAATATAATGAAGCTGTGACTGAATATCATGTTAGCTACATTGAGTTGCAATAATCAAAAACTAATCATGAGCGTGGTAACACAAATAGTCCAACGAGATGTAGGGTTTTACTCGAACATTCACTCGCTTCGTTCTACAAAAATAAAAAAAAACTTGAAAAATGAAGTTATGTTGGCCTTTCTAACTCGACAGTGACTATTCTCCGTCATGAGTTGCTTTAGCTTTAGCGTCCGTATAACATGTCACTTGTTGTTGGTCATTTTTGCCACTATACAGATTAGAAAATAAAGAAACCTCGACAAAAAGATGTTATGTGATCTTGAGTCTTTTCCTGTGGCGAGGTTTGCAGCGTACATAAGTTATTTGTAAAACCTGTAGGTTGACGTCTACCTGATTAGTTTTTAGGGCCCTACGCGGAAGATTACTCGATTTAGTTCAGTCTCAAAGAGAACTGTCAATTTGGAATTCAAATTTTTCCCAACTTCAATACTTTGCGAACCCTGTCCTAAAGGAATTAACCTCCTGAAAGTCATCACAAATAATCTAGCATTTGGTGATTTTATGGATGAACCTACAAGTACAAATCGATTTTCCGCAATGAGAATCAATATGAGAGATAGGACTTTTAATAGGTCTCTTTTTAGTCTTTAGGAGTCAAATCGCAAATCATCTAACGCGCCATAGCACAATCATTAATCTACACATAAACCAATCATTCATTCTTATATACTAACTCTGTTCCACTGCAAAAATAACTGAATTTTTCCGCCTTTTCCATGTACGCATCAGAACCCTGCTGGTGTGCAGCCTACAGGATGTGTCTCTCCCAAAGGCAGCTAGGCGTGTGTGGAATGCCACACTAAAAGAGAGGCCGTAGCCTAGAATTATTGCCGAGTGTTTTGAAATTAGCTCGTTTGTATTGTCTAAGCCTAATGTTTTATTAGTCTATCTTTTCTAAATAAATTTTTACATTAAAGTTTGGTGTTTTAATCTTGATGTGTCTTATTTATCAGTCTTATTTTCCATTTGAGTTCAACATGGCGGACGATGTATGCGTCTGTGCGCGCTGCTCGGATAATTTCATAGTTAATACGAAGTTCGTGTCGTGTAGAAATTGCGAAAAACGCTTCCACAATCACTGTGTGGCAGTGAAAGACGATGTCTTAAGAATTTTATCAAAATGTGATAATTTACAATGGTTTTGTGACTCTTGCGAGGTTGAAGTGGAAAAGCCGGTCTCCAATCAGATCTGTGGTAAATTGACTACATTTGAATCATCTGAGTTAGCTATCTGCAGGAAAGAAATCGAGTGTTTGCAAAGAGAAAAAGGTCTGATGCAAAAACTAGTAAATGAATTGGAATATTCAAACACACTGTTAAAATCAAAATTGTTCGATAAAGATAATTTTCCTGCTGGTAGAACTACTGTTACCTGTGAAGATGGACCACTTTTAGTGCCCAAGGATGTAAATACAGTCTGAGATACACCCAGTTACAGCGATATACTAAAAAACGTGTAAACAATATTGATTCATCTGTATTACTGGTAAAATCGGCAAACAACAAGCAGAACACCGATGTAGTCAAATGCATTAGGGATGCAGTGAATCCAGTCGAACTAAACGTTCATATAAGTGGTACAAAAAAACTAAAGATGGCGCAGCGGTATATTGCAACAGCTCGCAGGATCCAAAAAATATGCACGTGGTTCTAGAAGTGTCTCCATCTATTAGAAAACTTCTTCTAGCAAAAGGTTTCGTCTACGTAGGATGGAACAGGTGCAGCGTAGTTGATTACCTCCAAATTATGCAGTGCCGAAAATGCAGTTCCTTTGGTCACCTTGAGAAGAATGTGTATCTAATATATCTACGTGTCGTAAGTGTGAAGATTCTGTGAAATGCGCAAACTGTGTACAGTGTAATCGTAGATATCGTACAAAAATAAATGTTGAGCATGCTGCATCGGATAAAGCATGTTCGCTTTTTGAGAACCATGTTCTCAGTCATAAAGCTAGAATAGATTATGGATAAGTTAGGATCAATGAAGCTTGGTCATCTGAACGTGCGATGTCTCATGTCCAACTTTGCTGCAATTATTGACCTGATTCAGACTGAGCGGTTCGATATTTTCGCTGTAAGTGAAACATGGTTAAGCCAAGACATTACCAATGATGCGGTGAGTATCAATAATTACAATCTGTTCCATAGTGACGGGGGATTCCGCGGTGGCGGAGTAGGAGTCTACATATCCACTGACCTTCAGGTTGAAATTATTAACTTTGGAAATTGCTTGGAACAACAAAATAAACAAATACGTTTTGCTTTTGGGCGTGTTGTATAGACCGCCCTCACAAAACCTCAATGATTGCATCAGCGCTCTAGATCTCATGTTACCGTTAATGTCAAACAATTTTGATAACATTGTTATTTAGGGCAAGTTTATGTATGTATTGAATGGCCCCCAAGATCGCCAGATTTATCACCTTTGGATTTCTTTATGTGGAGTCATTTAAAAAGCAAAATCTATGCTACTCACCCATACATCATTAGAAGACCTACGACAAAGAATTGTGAATGAGTGCCTTCAAATTACTCCTCAAATATTGCAAAATGTGCGGCAACGTTTTGAGCAAAATCTTTATTATTGCATGGAGAGTCATGGTGGCCATTTTCAACATTTACTTGCCTAACGGGTCAGTTGATTCTTCATTTTTAAATTACTTTGCTGCCAAATGTATTGATCTCCACTAATGATGATGTATTAGTTTTATTTAAGCTTTAAATCAATATATCTCCTAAACTACTGAACTGACTTACATTAATTTTATATCATTATAAAGGGAATTGAAAGACCTTTAAAATAAGGTATCACTCGACCCGCCTTTTCATTTAAGATTTTGGGGGTGGTGTCACCCCCGCTTAGGGGGCTGTACGTGCTAACGTGATTTTTTGCCAAACTTGTGTCCCCCTCGAAAACAAAATCGACGGGTCTGAGTGTTTTAAAAAAAAACTGAGTAAATGCGTCTGTTCCGTTTTCGATGCGCCACCCTGTATGTATATATATACATGTATTGTATATAGTATTTAATAAAGACGTTTATTATTATTAGGGTAAGGGCTGCCAGACATTACTTATTTCCTCAAAGACAAAACAAAAGATTCACACTTCTGATGAGCTATAGCTCCCCATCAATCATGAGCAGGGAAATGGCTATAGTCCGCTTGCCAAAGTATGTCAGTGGAAAGAGTTTTGTAGGCTAGGAGGACAAAAATGCTTTTGTCGAGTTTAGAAATCAATTGATAAGTGTATTGCCATGAGAGACGGCTATCTAAGTGGAAACCTAATGACTTTACTACCAACTCATTGTCGGTAAAATTCCTCAAAGTGAAATCCATGGTCTGAGTCTTAGCTCCGTCCAGGAAAAGACTATTAGCAGCAAACCAAATTTTTATTTGTACATCATTATCTACAGTGTTCAAAACATCAGCATTCTCTAGTGTAGTAGTATCACATCTGATTGCAGGACAATACGAGAGTTACAGACGGCCAGGTAATTATGAAAAAGAGTGGGACCTATAACACAACAGTATGGGACCACCTGCTTTATCTCTAGGACCTCAAATAAATTCCCTGTAAGCTGATGTACTGCTTATATGATGTAATAAGTTCAAGGCTGCCATGATCAAGCCGTACTTAGCCAGCTTTTTAAAGGGAGTGTCAGTCTAACGGATCGAATACTTTTTTAATCCATTTTAGTAGTTTTACCCCAAACACTTTGACGCAAAGATCCCATAAACGTCATAGCATTAATAGTACAGTAAAATGAAAATCGTACTTCTCCTATTAATGGTCATGTAATTTTAGATCAAATAGTTAATAAATATACATATTTATATAATAAAACATTGTTTTTTCCAATTGTTGGTATTCAAAAGTATTTTATCCTATAAATCTGGGCATTTAAGAAATGTTCAGAGCCATTAACATTGCTACGCCTCAAATTTTATATATATATACATTGGTATTCCTCAACATTCTATCAAAAATAGCAGAGGTAGAAAAATCGTCCGATGAGCTGGCAACGCCGCAATCCAGGTGACAAGAATGATATAAGGTTATCTGTCAAGACGGATGTCTATCCCGGGGTACCGACAGTTTCATTTATAGCGGCAAGTTTCCAATTGAATTTTTTTAAATGTTGTGCAAAGATTACGACAAAAATTTCGCTACGGATAGTCTTCTAGAAACTAGTAGAATACATTTCAACAGTTGTCTTGCGTGGCCATGTTATTTTTACTCGGGCCATAATTTCTTACTAGCAAGAGTAGCGTAGTTTCCCTCAATAACTACTACTACTTCTTCTTCTTCTGAACGATGAATTGCTACTTATTCTTTATGGCTTCGCAATTCCTGTTCTAGTTAAACTAAGTCGCACTTCTGGTTGTTTTGTGATCAATGTCACTTGTCATCTTTGTCAGCACACTTGTGCAAATGGCATTTCATTTGTCAGTGTTGTATATGTCTTGTGTCAGTGGTGTAGGTTGATCGGTTAACCGGTTGTATTTGGCTAATTTGGCTTTATTAAAACTCCCAAAACTATAGTGAATTACACACAAACACCGAAAGAACCTTTTCAACAGTAATTATGAGACATTGCGTTTAACCCGTGCCTATAGCACCAGTATCTAACAGTTTCTGCAACCAGAATCAACATGTCTGGAGGATTCAATTTTGGAGCAAAGTAAGTGCATGCACAAATCAACGACTATATCTATTGCAGAAGTATCAATTTGCAGGTCAACTAACACCCCTACGTTTGGGTCGTCAACGTTATCATTCGGCACAGCTACAACTCAGAACCTGCCTGGTTTTGGGATCCCCGCAGCACAACCCCAACCAAGCTTTGGAGCTGTCGCCCCTCAACCACAAGCCACATTTGGAGCTGGCCTTGGACAAATGAGTGCAAGCCAACCATCCACTGGCAGTTTCCAGTTTGGTAGTGCAGCTGCCCCTACTACAGCTGCTTCTGGTTTGTTTCCCGCACAATCTGGTGGATTGAATTTCAAACCAACAGGCTTTGGAGCAGCCACTTCACAGCCCACAGGATTGTTTGGGTCAACTGCTCCTAGTGGAACTACATCAACTGGATTTGGTAATTTAATATACAGGGTGACTTTGAAGTTGAGTCATTAATTTTCCGATAATGATTGTAGAAGGATGATAAACCAAAATATGTGTGTAAAAATAAAAAAAAATTTTACCTTGTTTTATAAAGTATCCTCCCGACAAGTATTTCAGTGCGGACCTGTATTTGATCGTGAGGTCTTGGAGCACCGGCATGCCCTCCCCTGTGAGGTCTTAAGTCACCTGATTCACGAGCCCGTTGTACTACATTAACAAAGGCACGAGGGGTTGGTTGCACTCGATTGGGAAACCGATCCACATAAGCATGTGCCATTTTTTTTTTCGTTTGAGCCACGCAGTAAACACCACTATTCACTCACGCGTTACCGACTGACACATTGACTGAATAAAAACATCGTGATCAGCGTTTCAAATTCTTTCGCTTTTTTGTTTCCGATGCGATGAACCGATAAGGCGGATTATATCCGTTGTTGCCAAACACGAGCACATAATATTATTATTGAGACAGGGCAGTACTCAAACTTCTAAAGGGCTATAACTTTGTTACTTTAATTTTACCAGAAAAATGTTAAAGGAAAAAAACATTTCTTTTGATCAGATCTACTCACTGTTAAAATAAATGACTCAACTTTGAAGTCACCCTGTAGAAATTAGAATATCTGGATAACTGTTATGATGATAACAATTATATAGTTTTTCTTGTCATGAGAGATAACATACCTTGAGAGCCCCAAGGTGCTGAATCTTACAATACACCATTTGTTATTAGTATTATGAATTTCTGTGACCATCCTGTTACACTCCTTGATCAGTCTTAAACATGTCCTCACA